AGGGAGATAATTAAGATTAGAGTAGAAATAAATGATACAGAAATTTAAAAAAACAGTAGAACAGATCAGTGAAACTAGGAGATTTCTTGGAAAGAATTAACAAAATTGATAAACCCTTAGCCATACTTATCAAAAAGAAAAGTGAAAAGACCCAAATAAATAAAGTCTTGAATGAACGAGGAGAGATCACAACGAACACTGGAGAAATACAATTATAAGAGACTATTATGAGCAATTATGTGCCAACAAACTGGGCAATCTGGAAGAAATGGATAAATTCCCAAAAAACATATAAATTACCAAAACCTAAACAGGAAGAAATAGAAAATTTGAACAGTGTTGTCACCAGCAAAGAAATTGAATCAGTATTCAAAAATCTCCCACCAAAGAGTCCAAGGGCAGGATGGCCTCCCAGGGAAAATTCTACCAAACATCTAAAGAAGAATTAATACCTATTCTTCTGAAACTGTTCCAGGAAATAGCAATGGAAGGAAAACTTCCAGACTCATTCTATGAGGCCAGCATTACGTTGATGCCCAAACCAGACAAAGATCCCACTAAAAAGGAGGATTACAGACAAATATCCCTGGTGAACCTGGATGCAAAAAATTCTCAACAAGATACTAGCTAATCAAATCCAACAGTACATTAAAAGGATTATTTACCATGATCAAGTGGGACTTATTCCTGGGCTTCAGGGGTGGTTCAATATCAACAAACCAATCAACACGACACATCACATTAATAAAAGAAAGGATAAGAACCATATGGTCCTTTCAATAGGTGCAAAAAAAGCATTTGGCAAAATACAGCATCCTTTCTTGATAAATACCTTCAAGAATGTAGAGGTAGAGGAAACATACCTCAACATCATAAAGGTCGTATATGAAAGACCCACAGCTAATATCCTCCTCAATGGGGAAAAACTGAGAGCTTTTCCTCTAAGAAAGGGGACAGGGATGTTTACTCTCACCACTGTTCTTCAACACAGTACTGGAAGTCCTAGACTCAGCAATCAGACAAGAAGAAGAAATAAAAGGCATTCAAATCTGCAAGGAGGAGGTCAGACTTTCACCATTTGCAGACAGCATGATACTCTATATAGAATACCTGAAAGACTGCCCCCCAAAATTGCTAGAACTGATACATGAATTCAGCAAAGTCACAGGATATAAAATTAATGTACAGAAATCTCTTGCATTTTATATACCAATAATGAAACAGCAGGAAGAGAAATCAAGGAATTGATCCCATTTACAATTGCACCAAGAAACCATAAGATGCCTAGAAATAAACCTAACCAAAGAGGTAAAAGATCTGTATGTTGATAAATATAGAACATTTATGAAAGAAATTGAAGACGACACAAAGAAATGGAAAAGCATTCTATGCTCATGGATTGGAAGAAAAAATATTGTTAAAATGTCTATGCTACTCGAAGCAATCTACACATTCAATGCAATTCAGATCAAAGAAACACCAGCATTTTTCACAAAACTAGAACAAACAATCCTAAAATTTGTATGGAACCAGAAAAGACCCTGAATAGCCAACATAATGTTGAAAAACAGAAGCAAAGCTAGAGGCATCATATTCCCAGACTTCAAGCTGCACTACAAAGTTGTAATCATCAAGAGATTATGGTACTGGCACAAAAACAGACACATAGATCAGTGAAACAGAATAGAGAACCCAGAAATGGACCCTCAACTCTATGGTCAACTAATCTTTGACAAAGCAGGAAAGACTTTTGGAAAAAGACAGTCTCAACAAATGGTGGTGGGAAAACTGGACAACAACATGCAAATGAATGGAATTGGACTGCTTTCCTCCAACACACACAAAAATAAATTCAAAGTACAAATACAAATACAAAAATAAATTCAAAATGGATGAAAGACCTAAATGTAAGACCAGAAACCATCAAAATCCTAGAGGAGAAAACAGGCAGCAACCTCTTTGACCTCAGCTACAATGACTTCTTACTAGACATGTCTCTGGAGACAAGGAAAACAAAAGCAAAAATGAACTATTGGGACTTCATCAAGATAAAAATCTTCTGGACAGCTAAGAAAACAATAAACAAAACTAAAAGGCAACAGACAGAATGGGAGAAGGTATTTGCAAATGACATATCTGATAAAGGGCTAGTATCCAAAATCTATAACTAGTATAGTTATATATCTATATATATATAAATCTATATACCAAAATCTATACCAAACTCAACTCCCAAAAAATAATCCAGTTAAGAAATAGGAAGAAGACATGAACAGACATTTCTCCAAAGAAGACATTCAAATGGCTAATAAACATATGAGAAAATACTCAGCATCACTCATCATCAAGGAAATACGAATCAAAACCACAATGAGATACCACTTCACAACTGTCAGAATGGCTAGAATTAACAGCTCAGGAAACGACAGACCCTGGTGAGGATGCAGAGAAAGGGGAACATTTGCGCTGTTGGTGGGAATGTAAACTGGTGCAACCACTCTGGAGAATAGTATGGAGGTTCCTTAAAAGATTATAAATAGAACTACCCTTTGATGCAGCAATTGCACTACTAGGTATTTATCCAAAGGATGCAAAAATGCTGATTTGAAGGGGCACATGCACCACCCTGATGTTTATAGCAGCATTATCAACAATAGCCAAATTATGGAGAGAACCCAAGTGTCCATAGACTGATGAATGGATAAGGAAGATGTGGTATATATATATATACATATGCATATATATGTATATGTATATGTATATATATATATAATGGAATATTATGGAATATATAATCCTATATATGATAATGGAATATTACTCAGTGACCAAAAAGAAGGAAATCTTGCCATTTTCAACAACATGGATGGAACTAGAGTGTATTATGCTAAGCAAAATAAGTTAGTCAGAGGAAGGCAAAACTATGATTTCACTCATATGTGGAATTTAAGAAACAAAAGATGAACATAGTGGAAGGGAAGGAAAAATAAAATAAGATAGAAGCAGGGAGGCAAACCGTAAGAGGCTTAACTATATAGAACAAACTGAGGGTTGCTGGAAGGAAGGGAGATGGGGGATGGGCTAAATGGGTGATGATATTAAGGAGGGCACTTGTGATGAGCACTGGGTGTTATAGGTAAGTGATGAATCACTAAATTCTACTTCTGAAACCAATACTACACTATATGTTAAGTAACTTGAATTTAAATGAAAAAAAACTGATTTCTTAACTCAGTGATCACTGTGATATTCTAAGAAATTAATACAGCAATTCTTATTTTTAAAAGCATTTGGCTACATTAAACGACCCCTTTTCTGCTCCCGTTTGTCAGAGCATCTTGTATGGTTTTAATCTAGACAACCAATCACTAGAAAATGCTGATCTACTTTACAAAGAATCATACCTTTTTATTATAATCTATTCTCAAACTGACACTTCTATTTTTCAGTTGTATTTGCTGTTATTTCTCTACCTGTCTCTTTTAAGTCTTGAAGGAATTTTTTCCAGTTTTTAAATTATTGGAGTTCCATGAGTCAAATTTTCATATGGAAAAGAACCTAAACTTAAAACAAGCTGGTTTCATGTTGTTTCTAACAGAAAACCAATTAGTGAATTATTCACTGCCATGAAAATTTTTTTGTACATCTTTTGTGAATGTGTATTTGAATTCATATTTTCAATATCACAAGGAAAATATGTGAATTTTTAATGTATTTCCATTGAAACTTAATGAGTTTTCATTGTGTCATAAAATCAATTCTTTTTTTTTTAAGATTTTATTTATTTGACAGAGACAGAGCGAGAGAGGGAAAACAAGTAGGGGGAGTGGGAGAGGGAGAAGCAGGCTTCCCGGGGAGCTGGGAGCCCGATGCGGGGCTCGATCCCAGGACCCTGGGATCATGACCTGAGCCGAAGGCAGACGCTTAACGACTGAGTCACCCAGGCACCCAATAAAATAAATTTTTAAATTAAAAAAATGAAAATAAAAAAATAAAAAGGTAAAGTTGGTAAGTAGCAGATGTTTTCCATAATTACGTTTCCCCCAAGGGCAGGCTATGTTGTTGCTATGTGATTTTACCAGCATCATGCAACATCAGTAGGGAATACTGAGAATAAATCTGATTGGGGAAAGGGAAAACTCCATGGAGGAAATTATATTAAGGGTTTAAAAGATAGTATGAGCTTCAGTAAACATAAATAAACTAGAGGATAAGAAGCTACAGACCAAATGAATTATTCTAAAATGTAAAATTTTTGGTATTAGCAAGATGGTAGAATTTTTTTGTTTGTTTTTTCTTAGGTCTTTCCTCTGGGTTCCTGAAACACACCATGGAATCTGCTGTCAGAACCACTTACAATAAAGTTGTCCTATTTACAGGTTTTTGATAAGCTGTTTTTATTCTTTAATGAATAAGAAATGATGCCATTATCCCCTACAAAATAGCTGAGGTTTTACTTGAACAAAATCTGTTTGGAAATGTTAAGCTGGTTACACAGAACTAATATGCCTCAAGGTGGTCATTCTCTCTGGATTAAAGCTGTGGAACAATTGTGGCTCCTGTTACAAGGAAAACGACAAAGGGCCTTTATGAAAAGGGACAAAAATCTCTGTTCCCAGGGGGGCACTGACAAGCTGAAAGTCCCCCTCTACATGCCAACACAAAAGGCTGATTGCCTCAGATTGTTTGTTTATGTAAATCAAAAGGCTGCCATTAGTTCAGCAAGTGAGGCTGCCCAGCGACAAAGAAGGTGGTGATTGGCTGGATGCTTGCTCCTGGGCTGGTGGCATATCTGACAAATCCTATTGCTTTTGTTCTAAGCTCTATCTGGACACCTTTAGGAAAAGCAGTTTGTTTTTGTGTACTGAAGCAAATACTCTGTATTCTCTGAGTAGGAGGTGGAACTATAGAACTTGAAGGGGAGAGAACACATCGAGCAAAGATCTTTTCCTTCGGTTTCTCCAAAGCTTTCTTTGGGTTCTCGGACTCAACTGTGCATCATGACAGACGTTCCAGGGACACTCAGTCAGGCTGAGTGCAATGGGGATACACCACCTGAAAATGGTCAACAACCAATCACTAAAACAAATGAGGGATCCAGTGATGTGGATGGTACCCCAGCATACTACAGGGTAGAACTCCCTCTTGAAGACTTACCCACAGAAGGAAATCAGGAGAAAAGTGAAAAATTACAAGGGAATATGGTAGTCAACTGGTCCACTGATGAGAAGATTCTAAAAGGTAAAGCATTTTCCTTTCTCTTTGATTTGTTTGATTTAATTTGTAAACTCACTCATGATCCTTTTGATAAACTGTTATGATGGGAATGTGCTGTCCATCTTCCCACCCATGTCCCTGCCTGAATGTGGCCTCTCATTCTCCTGGGGCTGGATAGCTAAGGGCCAAACCGCTGCCTCAGGTCAAATCCAGGCTTATTTATTTGATAGCTTTATGACCCTGGGCAACTTCCCTAGCCCCCCGAAGCCTTAGCTTTCTCGGTTAGCAGAAGACAGAAATATAAGTACTGACATTTGTAGGGTTGTTGTGAGGATTACTAAGTGTTGGTTAAATGTTAACTACTGTTATTTATTATTATTATGGACAGCCCCATTATTATTTAAGCAAAGGAAATTCAGCACTTCAAGTTTTCCTTCTGAAATATACCTGAACATGTCTGAATTCATGGTTCTATAACATACAGATGGAAAAGGAGAGGTTATCCTTATGTTTATAAGTAGGAACCAATAAGAAATGAGTTGGGAGAGAGAAATAGCTACTTTTAGTGATCACACTGCAAACCAAATTGATCTACCTAGCTAGAGTCTAAATTGATAATTTATTTAAACTTGAGCTGCTCAAATATTATAGTATTAATCTTGTGGGTTTTTTTCCCCCAGAAAAACGCGAAGAGAATCTTTTTCTTGTTCATAAGGCTATCACAGATCTTTCTCTCCAAGAAACAAGTGTTGATGAAATGACATTCAGAGAAGGTGAGAGGAACTTCCATTTTGTACACAGACATTGTCTGACTGAATATGGATGGCAGTTTTTGCATGGGATGTTTTGTGAATGTGATGTCGAAAAAGCAATCCAGGCAATGCCTTCAAAAACTCAAAGCTGCTATAGGCAGATAAGGGAGTAGTCCTGATTATCTGTGGGTTTCACCTTAAAAAGTATTCCAGAAGCATCAAGACTGAGACTGCATGGATTGGTATAACTGATTGACATGTCTTCACCTGACAAAATGATATCAGTCTCTTAATAAGTTAGTCCACTAAATCAATTCTTTTGTAAGATTTATTTAGTGTCTCTAAATCTGTGTCAGGCACCTTGTGAAATGTGAATGTTTTACCTAAAAGCTTACCATTGACATACATTTTAAAGTAATATTATAAATTTATTTGATCTATAGAAAAAATCTAGGCCTCTATGTAAGCAGAAAATGGTTATCTAATTCTTGTTAAAGAAATCTCCCAGGTGATGAAGCTAATTTTAATTGTGTTCTTTCAGAAAAAGAGAGAATAAAAAGAACACTGATTTTTAAGTGACTTATATTTCAAATAAACTCAAGAGACTAAGAAGAACAAAATCTTTTAGATTTTACCTCTAAGAAGATACCTACGTTGAAGCAATTTCTAAATCAAGTGCAGCATAAACACATATTAATTGATCACTCATTTCCTCTTTTGCAACCATAAACATCTTATCTCAAAATTGAAGTCGATTCATTAGACCTTGAGCAATTTAGCTTAGTTAGGACCTTAATAGGCAAAAATGGAAGAGATTATTATTTTTTTAATATTAGAACATCACATAAAACAGTAGATGCCAAGGAAGACAAGGATGTAATTGGCAGTTTCTTGGGTTTGTCCACTTTGCTTGGACACCTCCCAGACTATCTGTTGTCCCTATGTAGTGGTGGAACAACCACTATTGTAATAATGTAGTAAAGAACAACCATTATTAAGCTTTTACATTATCACAGGTAATTTATAAAACTTAAGCTTTGAGCCCCATGAAATGAACTAAGTAACTTCTCTCCCCTAATCTTTCTGTTTCCAATGTAGCAAGTTCTCACAGGCAGTGCATCTAGAGAACTTTCCAAAACATTTTTTAAATTTATATATTTATTTGGGAGAGAGAGAGAGCGAGAGCACACAGGCAATGGAGAGGGGCAGAGGGAGAGGGAGAGAGTCTCAAGCAGACTCTGAGCTGAGCATGGAGCCTGACATGGGGCTCGATCTCACGACCCCGAGATCACGATCTGAGCTGAAACCAGGAGACTGACACTTAACGAACTACACCACCCACGTGCCCCAAGACCCTTTCAAATATCTGATCGGAGAGTCCACTGGAGACAACAGTTTGCTAGGATCTTTCATTTTATCAAATAGAGACTCAAAGCAGGCTGGATTTTTTAAGTAGATGGTGTCAGGGTGAATTTTTCCCTGAATGAATCCTTTTGTGTTTGGTGGAACATATGTTTTTCCTGTAAGGCACATGTTGGTGTCTTCAGTTTTCACAATGACAAACAGCTATAAAGTCTCCAAAGAGAATACTCCTGGGTTGAAAAATAGCAAGATGCTAAAAATATTGAGGAAAAACTATAATTTAAATTCAAGAAGTAATTTCATGCATGACAGCTCCATGCCTGAGTCATGGTGTGAGCAGAAAATCAGCTTCTTTGGTTCTTATGGAAAAGAAGACAATAAAAGAAAGTTTAAGATTATAGCAAACATGCTAATGTATATTTATTTATAATGTAAAGAACATTGACTGGGCACCAACAACCTGATAGGAACTGTGTGCAACCAGTTAGGAATGATAATCCATCTTCACTTCTATCTTTTTTTGTTAAGTTTACACCTGATTCCTGCAGTTGGGAAAACAAAAAAATGAAAAGAGCATGAAAAATCTTGACTGGTAATGGACTTGTAAAAATTTTTCAGTGAAAGTAGAAAGCTGTGGCAGGGAAAGGCAAAGAGGAACATTGCCTCTCACTTTATTTAAAGACTCTTGTGGTGTTGAAAGGGAATAGTGAACGGAAGCCTGACAAAGCACACAATCTAGACAGTATTTTAAAGTCACGCATAGACTGAAGCTTCTCACAGAAGTCCCTTTAGAGGTGAAAGCCCAGAGAACAGCCTCCACTCTAATTCTTTTGAGCATGCTCAATAAATATTGTTAAGGATATGCTGATGTGATCTGTTTGAAAAGTGAAATTTGACATAAATTAAGCCTTGTAAAAGTCACTATAGGGTACCAAACAACTTGAGTTAATTAGTTGTTATTAGGGATATGTCTAACATGACAGGCTAATCTAGCACTGTATAAAGATGGCCACAACATGGTTTTAAAGCTTGGCTCTCTAGAAATCAATGGCAAGTCTTAGATGACATTGTGTGTGCTTTGGTGGGCTTGGTGTCACTGTTAGCCCAGCATATGACTCCTGACCATCCATGGCCCCCTGCTCCTCCTTCCACAACAGGAACTTTAGCACAACTCTGAGAAGCATGGTGGCAGATACTGAATGTGCTACTCTGAGCGTGCCCAGATGTGGGAAGTCATTGTTTTTACTACTGGAAGAAAGCCTTTTTTCTCCTGTGAGATATTTTTCTAATTTTCCTTGGGGAATATGTGTGTGTATGCGTGTGTGTGTAAGAGATAGGTCCAAATATTTTATTTTCTATGTTCACATTTCCAGTCACTTCAGGCTAGACAGGATTTTAAAAGTCTGTCTCAGGAACACCAGTCTCACTAGATACAAAAGTCACAACAAAAAAATGTTTCATGGTCAAATGAAGTTGAGTTGTCGACTTCTTAGAGATTCACAATATTCATTGGTATTTTAAAGACTTGCATAAATTCTGAAGCTTACTTAACTGTGTTTAATGCAGTATTTTCCAAACTAATCTGACAGTACAACCCATTTTATTGTGTAAAACATATTATTAACCCACAGAATGATATCCTATAAAGGACGTGTGGGGAAATGATTGTCCAGAAACATAATTTAAAGAATAAGAGCTGGGTATTTCAATTACCAATTGATTTTGCTACAGGACATCAATGGGAGAAGATTCCTCTGAGCATCAGTAGCCAGGAAATAAGTAGACAAAAGGAAAGGATTACTGAACAACCTCTAGAAGAGAAGGAAGAGGAGGATGGGAAGAGCAAAGCTCACCAGGCAACTGAAATGGAATGGTTGGGATTTCGGAAACCTAGCCAAGTTGATGTGTTGCATTCTAAACATGAGGAGGAGCAAGAGGTTTGGGGTGAAGAAATTAATAATGATGACGATGATTGCAATGATGATGAAGATGAAGTTCGAGTAATAGAATTTAAGAAAAAAAATGAAGAGGGTTCTCAATTAAAAGAGGAAGTTGATGCAGACGAGGACTCCCCACTGAGCAGCCCCAGTTCCCAACCTGTGACACCTGAGGAGCAGCCAACCTTTGGGAAGAAGAGTGATATCTCTAGAAATGCTTATTCAAGATACAATACAATATCCTATCGGAAAATCAGGAAGGGGAACACCAAGCAGAGAATTGATGAATTCGAGTCTATGATGCACTTATAAACTAAATGGAACTAAGAAATTCTCCTGCCCACTAAAGCAAAAGCTAATTCTATTTTCCTGAGATGCATCTTTGCATGTCTTATTTGAGTCATCCCCTTTAAAGATGTGAAAGCTTAATCTCTGTTTCACTGTAGAATAATATGGAAATAATCCTAGACAAAATTCAGTCTGGTAACCTCAAGTCAAAAAGCTTTAGATTCGTTCGTGGGCATTTGCTTTTTAAAATTTCACTAATACAGCCTTGTGTGATAAGCACTAAACAGCAAACAGCAAGCACCCCTGGAGAATCTGGCATGATTTGGCTTTAAAAGTAGCAACACTGAGAAATACAGTCATCAGATGAAAGAGGACTACGAGAAATGACCTGTATCTCTTTTGGTGTCTTTCTTCCTGCACACTGAGGGTGCTAGAAAGTCTGGTATTAAACTTCTTTTTCTTTTAAACATGTTTTTATAGACACTGGCAATAAGCTGTCCAAAATGTTTTGCTTTTTCTATTAACTTCGAATAAGATTTTAAGTGGTTTTCCTTAGCCTCTAGAGTGAAAAGTCTGTACAGGCCTTCTTCCTAGGTGTTACCATTCACTGAATTTTCTCACTAGAGGGGCCGAGCAATTGTCAGTCAGGAAAATTATGACTAAATGTTGGCTTTATGCACTCAAGATGAATAAAATCCACTGTGAGGTTGATATAGGGAGGGGCTAGAAAAATTGGTGGGCAATAGACTAAAGAGTCAGATAGTTTATTTCTGTAACTGAAAATAAAATCTCGTCTAGCACAGTTAAAGTCATTAAAAGTGAAAATGACAGCTTTAGCACAATTTTAAGAAAATACCCCTCTCTATTACCACACTTTCTCTTATTAACAGTATCTCAGAATAATTTTCTTTCCTTAGAAACCCAAGACAACTCTAGTCATAACTGTACTAGTTACTATGATAATGGAAATAATTATCTTAGGATATTTTCAAAGTGGAATGTGAGCATGTATTTTTAGTGAGAAAGCTCTGATAGTTGTTGGGAATATATAATTTACTGGACCTCAGCCCAAATCACGATGCTTAAAATTGTGCCTATGGAGCTTCACTCAAGTTAGTGTGTCAAATAATGTATTGAATATTTATGAAAAGGGAGAATCTATATTTATATTCTTAGATAGTTTCGTAATTTTTCATTTCAGGCTTCCATATATATCACCCTGAACTTTCTGTCACCACAGATAAAGATATTTTTGGCCCTGCAAATAAAAAGACAATTCCTTATTGTCTGAATGTAATACAGTCTTCATTGTACTATTCAACCCTTTGTTTATTTCTTTTTCACTTTGTGAAAATACCCGGATTAGGCCTTCTTAGATTATTGCTTATTTATGTGTAACATTTCCCACACATTCTAATGGAAGTTTCTTTAATTCTCCCTGGTCATATAATATATTTCCATGGTATCATATACTATTATTTACTGTTTACAAGACTCAATTTTGAATTCAAGATTGAAGAGTTTCTTTTATCCTTTCAAACAGATATTTTGCAACCTGATCATGTAAAAGTCTGTTGCTCTTCATCGTAGAACCTATAGATTTCCTTCTTGGTAATGCAAGTTTTCAGAAGGAAGCCAGGGAAATCAGGTGTTTATTGGTAAATTTAGGTAAAAGATTGGTGCACTCAGACAATTTCCTATTTATTTAGATACTCTAAATTGTTCCACCTGGACAACCTATTTTCTTTTCTGGATTACTGATGACCCCTACAATTTTCTACTTAGCTTCAAAGCACGGTATTTTATTATCCATCATGGAAGAGGAGCATACTGTTAACCTACCATCAACAGAACCTCTATTTCTAATTGTTCCAGCAGAAGTGTTGAATTCCTGCGGAATTTGAGTGAGCTGGGTGGTCTATGGTGTGACATGGCCAAGCAACTGGATCTTATGGGAATCCAACACATAGTAACCCTGGCCTTTTTAGCTTTGTGCTCTTACCATATAATTAACCAAACATGAAAGATTTTGTCAACAAAGACTTTATCAGGGTATGTTCAATGAGCAAATGCTCAGTGCTTATGGGTGAGGCAGTGTAGCTACAAAAGAGCATGGAAACTACTCTTTGACATTAATGCCCATTGCCCTGTGCTGCCATCTTACACTAAGGCCACAGAGTTAAGTGATCATAAGTAACATTGGTGGGGTTAGGTGACTATTTGATTCTTTATAACCTAGGAAAGGCAAGGGTATGGTTCTGATTTCATGAGGGATATTTAACATATTAGACACTCTTACAAGACAAGGTAGCACACAAATTGGTAACTATACTGGAAGATTTACTGCTTTTGTGATTCAAGGTTCAGGGGTGGATGGAAGAAGGACTCTGGTACCTGTTAGGAGGGAAAATTGATTTCTGTGAGAATGTTGCTATTTCTTACATGACTTAATTTTTCTTAGTTTTGGGGTGAATAGGAATTAATAGAAGCTCTATTTATTTGTCAATATAAAATTTACCTTTTATATAATGCTACACTGGAAAACGTGGAATATGTCAGACTCTATTATCTGTCTACAATTTAAATAAAGAACTGCTGTGTCTGACTTGCTCTCAATAAAAGTTTGTGTCCTTGTTTTTGGTGTCTAGAATTTTTTTTCTTTCGCTGCCCTTTAAAATTTAGGAAGAATGCTTGCATATCAGCAGCTATTAAAGACCATTAAGAAATGCTGCTTTAGAAATCAAGAGAACCCCTTATTTAAATTCAAAAAGCATTATTTCAAAAAGGTCTTAAAATGATTGTGTACAGAATTGCAAAAAGAATTTCTGGTAGTTGGTATGTAATGTTCATGAAAAATTTGTATCATTTTTATAGGAACTGAGCTCTTGTTTTAGATACACCTTAACTCCAACAACTTGAAAAACATATATATATATCTTTATAGCCATCAAGGTAATACATTTAAACCATGCTGACACTTTTATAGTCATTGTTTCTGCATATTTACATGGGATAGTACTTTTGGCACATTTTCAAATGAAGAACGGACATTTAATTTTTCAAAGTGATAGGAAAAACATTTAAAATAAGTAATAATAGAGAATTATGGCAAAAGATAAAGCACCAGAGTATTATAAAGAAGAAATATGTTTGACCATATGAGAAAGGCAACTACTTTTAAAGGCTTAACATTCATTGCTCTATAAAAACAAGAGGGCTATAAAAAGAAATATCAGAAGTTATAGCAAACATTTGCCAATATTAAAATATCAGACAGTAACAAAATAAATATGAATACCAAAATGTGTATACAGCTCATGAGGAACATGAGGTGACTAAGCTATACAATCAACATAAACACAATGACATGGGTAGTAATCAACAGCAGAAATCACCCAACAGATACAAGGCAAACTACAAAATCAAAGGACAATACCTGGTAATCAACTGACAGTGTGGGAGAGTCTTGGAAATGAACTTGGAAAGTAATCTGAATTTTTAGGTAGCAACTTAAAATTACATATTTGATTCCTTCTTTATAATAACTTCAGTTAGTAGAGGCTGAAAAATTGGGTACTTCAAAATGTTCAAATTAACTCCAAATTCCTTTATATTCCATTGTTTCAATCTCGTTCTCCCATTAACAGAAGTTTTTAGGTAATCAATGAGAAAATTCACTAATTTGACCTTTGCCTTCTCTTATTTTTCTGTCCATCTCTGATAGTTAATATGTGTAAAACTAGCAACATCTGGGAAGTTGTTTGAAGGAGGAGAATTAAGGCATGTGCATAATCCAAAATGAACAACAAGTATCTTGATAATTTAGAATTTGGGTACTCCCTTCCAGTATGGAAAATGATACCCAGAGTGAAAGTCCACTGGAGATACTTTTGTCCAGAAGGCCAGATGCAAAATGGTACCCTTAAAAGAATTAAAAATATCCAAAAACATTGATAGTTTTCTTTATATTTATAAGCAGGAATTATTGGTCTTATTTTCTCCCACTTCAAAGCGTAAAATATAGAGACTCATTTTATATATATATACACACACACACACATATGCATATGTGAATATATGAATATATACACATATTTATCTATATGGATATATATGTATGTATACATATATATTTACAAAAATCGATATGTTTTTGGTCAAGTAAAGATAATCTAGGCCCTCAAAAAATTAGTTTTTATATCTAATATAAAGGTTTTATTTATATAGATATTTATGACTAATATCCTTGAACTGGTAAATACCAATCAATCAACAATAAAATAGAAAGCCCCTGTTTTCAAAGATATTATTTCTTACTTATTTAATGGCAACTGTCATCATCAGAAACTCACCATATTAGAAGTTGCTCTATTTGTTGAAAAATGAGAACTTTCCTGTATGTTTTTGCAAAGCAATGATTCACATAAACTTGCAAAGAGACCCTATTGGGATGGTAACTACTAGTTGACCTATTAGGTTGAAAACAGAGGCATTGAATCTGCTTATTGTGATGGGATTTTTTTCCTTTCTGTTAGGTGCCAACACCTACCTGAAATACCATCCATTAAACCTCATCAGGAGTATTTAATACTTTACATAGCTTACCCAAACTTTTCCATGGAATAGCTATTTGCCAAAAATAAATATTTTGTCTATTAGCTTTGGTTAGTGTTCCTTTCCACATTTCAAGGCACATGGCTCATAGCAATTTTTGAATAACCTACACAAAAGTTGTAAAAGCACTATGGTGACAATCTACACAATGAAGTAAAAGTTACAGGCTTTAGTTTGTATTTTAAATTAAAGGACTCTTCAGTGTTTTACTTCCCACCTCTGTTGAAATTGGGCAATCTGTCGGCTTTGATTAATGGTTGGGGGAAGAAAGAGTTGGCAGTATTATTTACAGGGAAGCAATTTCTCTATGTCTGCTTCTCCTTCTCATATTTATTATAGGAAATGGAAAAGAATATGTCCTGCATGAAGTCAAGGAGATAGACAACTGCAAAGCAGGTGGGGATAGCTAACCTTAAGCCCACATTTCAGTTAAAGGAAAAGGTGCAGCCTCTATACCACAGCCAAGGGAGATCTAAGACATTTGACTTCACAATGAAGGGATTTTAATTGAGCCCACACAAGTTGACTGCCCTGCCTAAAGAAAAAAAACAAATCATAGCAACATGTTGTTGTCAAAGAGACTCTTTTCTTCCTCTTCTTTTTTTTCAGCCAGATAGAATGGAAACCAGATTTCAATCTCTTACTAGTGGGATGATCTTAGATAATACCTCTCAGCCATCCTCTTTGCATAATGAGGAGAGTAAGACCTAATTCACTGAGTTGTCTACAACAGTGAGATGGGGTACAGTCGGTGCCTAGCACATGGTAGGTACTCAAAGATAATCAGTTCTCATCTGTTTTCCCTTTATTCCCTGTAAATTCCTTGTTTGTATCAAAGATACTGGGATCCTCATCTGAGGCGTAGTTTCTTTTCTGTGTTTGAACATGGAAGTTACATTTGTTAAAACAAATAAAGATGGTACTATCTGGCCAGCCTCAACCCCACTCTCTTGCATGAGAACCCCTTGAAAATCATCCTAAACCATTCATAAATTCAAGGTTGACTGGAGAATTTGAATTCCTGTACACTATAACTGGTATCTTTGCTCCTCTACAATCCCTAAGGCAATACTATAAGCAAGGTGTTCTCATATCTAAGAGAATTTTCCAAATTAGTTGTGGAAAACTAACAATATGATTATGGCATATGGTGGTTTTGGGCCCTGTGAATGACAGCTGATTGAATGTCAGCAAGCGGAATTGAGCAAATTTGATGCTGGTGATAAAACATGGTTGTACCAACAACAGCTGTGTCATCCTTCAGAGAGAAGCTCTGGGTAACTGTTGAAAAAGAGAAAGGAACTGTGCAAACCAAAAGTTCAGAAGCACTCAGATGGTCTGGTAAGTTAGTTTTTGATCAAATAAGTCCTGTAAAATATCAAAACTATGCTTGTGTTTAAAGTAACAAAATGTATAGACACTTCTCTAAGAAAAGGCAATGACTCAAGCCAACCCAAGGAAAACTCTGAAGTCTCCCTATAACATAGCCTCCTACTGAAGAATTTAGGGTTGAATAGGACCCTAATGTGTCCCACTCAGGGGTTTCTCACTAGAAGTGCCAGAGGCCTAGTAGCATTTACACCTTTATTACAGTCTTCTGAAAACAAAACATAGAGGGGTAATGCTTTAGAAAGTGTTGGTAGTGGCTGCACCAGCTTGCATTCCCACCAACAGTACAGGAGGGTTCCCCTTTCTCCACATCCCCGCCAAAATCTGTCATTTCCTGACTTGTTCATTTTAGCCATTCTGACTGGTGTGAGGTGGTATCTCATTGAGGTTTTGATTTGGATTTCCTTGATGCCGAGCAATGTTGAGCACTTTTTCATGTGTCTCTTGGCCATTTGGATGTCTTCTTTGCAAAAATGTCTGTTCATGTCTTCTGCCCATTTCTTGATTGGATCATTTGTTCTTTGGGTGTTGAGTTTCGTAAGTTCTTTATAGGTTTTGGATACTAGCCCTTTATCTGATATGTCATTTGCAAATATCTTCACCCATCTGTCAGTTGTCTTTTGGTTTTGTTGACTGTTTCTTTTGCTGTGCAAAAGCTTTCAATCTTGATGAAGTCCCAATAGTTCATTTTTGCCCTTGCTTCCCTTGCCTTTGGCGATGTTTCTAGGAAGAAGTTGCTGTGGCTGAGGTCGAAGAGGTTGCTGCCTGTGTTCTCCTTTAGGATTTTGATGGACTCCTGTCTCACATTGAGGTCTTTCAACCAACCATTTTGAGTCTGTTTTTGTGTGTGGTGTAAGGAAATGGTCCTGTTTCATTGGGGCGATGGGGGGATGGGTTAGCCTGGTGATGGGTATTAAAGAGGGCATGTATTAAATGGAGCACTGGGTGTATACGCAAACAATGAATCATGGAACACTACATCAAAAACTAATGATGTAATGTATGGTGATTAACATAACATAGTAAAAAAACATAAAAATAATAAAAATAGAAAAATAAAAAAGGAAGTAATTAAAAAATATAAAAATAAAAAGTATTGGTAGGAGATTTCACAATTAGTCAATACTCTGAAGTTTAGGATTATAAAAAGATTTCCAATTAATGATTAGTTCCTTGCGTCTTAGAGTAGTTGAGTAAATACATGGTAGAAGTTCTTTTTAAAATTCTTTCCAAGAACAAACGTGTCATGTATGAAAACAATCCTTTGCTATATCGACAATATAGATTCCGGTAAAGCTTTTTCTTATGTCAAGGTGAAGTCAGGAAGAGTGTACACTGAAGAGACTGTAGAAGATTTTTGTGAAAAACATTCAAATTTCTTTCACTTGTATGTCCAAAGGTAAGTGTTTCCAAACCATAATTGTCTTTTTCTGAATAGACTTGATGTGTTTTGTGGAAACTGTTTTTGAATAAGAAGAGTCTTCAGACTGGGGGCAAAAAAACCTTTCAACATTTTTGCAGTTACACAAAGAATTGCACGAGGCACTCAGCATATTCAGTTTGGTCAGCAATTCAGCTAGTCCTTTGGCAACTGACTTGTGTTTTATCCCCCATATGGCTCTGTTTTGAAAAGAATTATCTCATTTTCTAGTCATTCTCTTATCTCATCTGCAATGTCAATTATCTGACTAAAACCTCTTAAATATGATGCAAATAGGCAGAACTGTTTCCCTTCTGAGTCATAGCTCTGCTTTTGTGCAATTAATTGGGAGATAAAATTAAATTTGAAATAGGAAGTCAGAACTAAAGATGCCCAGTTTAACCATCAGCTCAACTGAACAAAGCTTTGTTTTTCTATTAACAAGCATATAGCATGGTTTTCCTCCAGAGACCCAATGCCAGCAAAAAGGTTTATGTCTCTCTTTCTTAAGAATCCTGTGAAACAGATTTGTTTAGGTCCGCGGTGGCCTGGGGCAGTGGATTGAGCCCTGTCTTTGGAGATCCAAATTTGAATCCTCATCTCTCACTAACTGCTGTGGGACTCTTAGACAGGTAATATGTTTTCTCGGCATCAATTTGCCTACCAAAAATCAATACAAAGGATGTTAGGATTTCTAGAATCTCTTCTGGTATGCCTAAATACTGACATACGTAAGGTTAGGAATTCAGTGTGGATTGAAGAACTATTGGACTTTTCCCCAAATTTATCAGTATTATCATTAGGCCCACATCCACGGCCTTAGCTCCCACACCCACCCCACAGAGGTGCCAGGTTCCTTTTCTTTTCTGGCCAAGTCTAGGTCAATTTTTTTCTTAACTCTCTTCCAGAGGGTTGCTTACCTCTTTCTCTTCCCCTTTCATTATATTTACTTCATTTTACTTCTACTTTGAACTCTTTTAGAGCTTACTCGTAGCTTACTTCATCCCTGTGAATGCTGTTAAATCTAAAGTCATATTTTATATAAATCTTTAATATTTTTCAGTGCTCTATTGCTGCTTTGTTTCAGCTCCTCTTATTTGGTCTTACATTACAGTGTTGTTAAGTGTATTTTTAGTGTATTTTTGGTGACTACAGTGCATTGTGACCCAGCCTTTTTTTTTTCTTTTTTAACATCCACCTAAGTCTAGGAAGTTACTAGCAGGACTCTTCTTTTAAAGTGTAGCTTTAAAAGCACAAAATGAATTGAAACAATGTCTATATCTAGAACTGAATAAGCATTTGACTTCCTCACTTAAAGTTTTTTTCCACTGACTCAGACTGGGGGAAAAAAAATAAAAAAACATTATGTAGTCATCTAGATCAAAGTCTATTGAGGAGGAGTTGAGGACTATGATACGATACTGCTAGGTGAACAGGCATGTAGCTGGGAGGGACTTCACCAAGATGACAGCTGTGTGTTTCTGAGGCCTTTTTGCTATAGGAACTCAAGTAATTTTTTGAATTAAAAAAAGAAAAAAACAAATAAAAGAATAGGTTCTCATTGATTATACCTACTTGTGGGCCAAAAGAGCTGGTTATTATCAAACTCAGTCATCATGAATATCATTGTACTTCCTCAAGTACTTTTGGCTTCATTTCCTGTATTTCCTGTTACCTGTTTGATTGCATGGGGAAGTTGGCAGGCTGAGGTCCATCCAGCACAGGGCAGGAAGCATGCAATTCAAAAGGCCACCCAGAGCTGAAGATGGACTCCAGTTCAACTTTAGGTTGTTTCCCTGAGCTCACTTTTGGTTTCTCGAATATTGTGGGTTTTTAAAATCTCCTATTCAAATGCTCTTAATTTTGAAAATGTAAACTACTGTGGAGAAATACAGTCCTCACATCCACTGTCATTTTCACAGTGTCTAATGGGTTTACTAGATAAAAATATTAGTTGTTCTTTAGTCTTCATAATATTTTTCAAATTTCCACTTTTGGTATTGCTTTTCTGGGTCACAAGCAGCGACTTTCAGGGTCTTCTGAAAAACATTTCCTTCTAAGCATAACAACTGATGATAGTTCCCAAAAACAATGTGATTCACCTGGAAAGAAAGGGGATCTGGGAATGAGCCACAGAATGAATTTGACAACCGAAATATAAAGAAACGAAAACTAATTAAAAAAAGATAATTATATTTTTGATTCCTTAGGAATTCTTCTGAACTAAACTAACAATGTGAACACAGCCTTTGGACTGTATTAAACTTGTCTCCATCTCAAACTAACTTCTCTCTTCTTAAAGCTACAAGGCTTTTAAGACTTTTACAACTTCCTCAGGGAGGAAGCAAAAGATTTATTTTCTGATGATGGGTCTGATAACTATATTATTTAGAGGAAATTATTCCATATGGCATTTACTATATTTGATGGATGATGGCTTTCTAATTGATGGTGATCATGAAAAAACAGCCATCACAAAAAGTGAGTCAGTTAATTTTTTAATTAAGTTCATACCTTAGAATGCAAACTTGGAATACAAAGTGCTAGAAATGATGTATTTATTTATAAGCTACCCACTGTAATATCTGATAGTACGTAATGCCTGATGTCCAGAAAATCCAGATGTAATTAGAAAAAAGTCAAAGGTATTTCAGAGGAGTTCTATTATTGGTTAATATTTACTGAATATCCTAGAAATAATAGCTTGCTCATGGCTTTATAATTTTTTGCACCTATTAATCCTCTCATTTTTTCCATGACTATGACAAAGATAATCTTAATTATATGTATATTGTTTTGAAATATTTAAAAAAATATACCAAATAGGGGTGATTTCATAATAGTTTATTTTAAAGATGTTCCTACAAAACCATTGTCATCCTTGTAGGGCTTTGGAAATATAATGTTTGAGTATGCTCAAGGTTTTGTAAAGGAGTGGGCCTTGAGCAAAATCATCCTGGGTTATCTACAGCATTCTGCCAGTGGATTGTAAAGAGGTAATTGAATAACTCGTCCCCAACCTAAGGACACTTGATGAAGGGACCAGTGGTGGAGGGTCATTCCATGTCACAGTACCTAGGAGCTACCTATGAAACAATTTCCTCTTAGGTATCTATAATCCACAGCATTTGGGGTGGTCTGGCCTAGAGAATATCTTTTAAATGCAGATTAGAAATGTATAATTTTAACAATTCATTGGTATTCAGGATCAAACTCACTGTTACCCTATTTCCTTCTATGAAGCTCTCAATTCCTAATGCTAAAGGGGGAGACATCTTCCTGTTATTCAGTCTTTTTCTCCATTTCTTTTTTAAAGACTTAACAAGCTTTGGATGACTCAGGAGGTTTAGTATGAAAATTACCAAAATACTGAAAAAATAAGGAATACTATTGTCAACATATTAATCTCCATGACATCTAGCAGCATGGAAAGGGGAACTTAAGGTAGAAGGCAGCAGTGTGACATGCTACAAATTCATAGGCACTAACAGGATTTGGGAAACATCGAATTTTTGCCATCTTAGTTAAATTACTCTCTTTACAAATTGGCTTACCATTTATAGGGACCAAAATTAAGCCTATATAAAAATCAGCTAATGAAGCCTTAAGTTCTCAATGGGGCCAATGCAGTTTATAAATAAGACATATGTGATTTAAGGGCTGCTTACTCCTAAATATTTTCTCACTAGTGTGAATTTTTTTTTCTGGTAACAGATTCATTTCTGGAGATGAAAAATGTGTTCTCATTCTCATCCTTTCTCACCTCTGGCCCCACCTCCAGCTTTCTTTGGCATAAGGTCAAGGAAGCAGAAGGTAATATCTGATAGATGTTTATGGATTTTTCCAACACTATGCAACATAAAATTAGTAACTGGTATACTAGTAATTCCTAATTTTTCTAAATAACTCAATTATAGTCATTATCACTAAAGAGAAAAAAAATGCCCAGAAGAAATTGCAATATAACAGAGAAGATTGAAAGAGAGGAAGATTGGGAACTATGTTGCTCAAGCCCTGATTTTGACCCCAAGTAGGAAGAAAAATGCCATGAAGGGAGTAGTCACTGGTTGTGAAATCAAAAGAAATGGAGGCACTTCAAGGGCGGGGAGGAGTGCTTACTTTGGGGACAACCCTGAGCAAAATGATGGTCTTCATATACCCAGTGCATTTTGTGGATTTGATGATTACTTGCTAGTGAGATAATAGAAAATTTAAGAAGGTTGGCCTGAAATTATTTTTGTCACTCCAAGATCTTACACCAAAACTTATGACTTTGTATCTTGTTAAAATAGAATTGGGAAAACCTATCAGGACTTTGAGAGTAAATAGGATGTAGCAGGTGTGGTCTGATAAATATTAACAACTGGACCTCTAGAAAAACATCCCTGGATTAGGAGCATGGGTTTACAGAAATCCTCCCATAATGGCTGGTTTCAAGCTACCCGGGTGATGTCACTGAATGTGATGTCGGCAGGTGCACGCAGCACACTGTCAGCTCCTACAAGCAGCGGGGAGCTGCTTCTAACACCTGTTAAGGCCCAGGTCTCTGGCAACGAGGGGGGGGTGTGTGAGAAAAAGTCTCCCTTTATGGAAAGGAGGCAGAATGCTGAAAAGCGGAGTCATACTTAAGTGCAAGGCTTGTAGGAAGCATACTGCTTCTCTCTTTCCCCATATACTCTCCCTAAGGGCTTCTCTGGTAACCAGTGAGAACAAGTTCTAGCCTATAAGCATGATTTTTGGCATTGTTAGTTGACTGAAGCAAATGACTTAAAGAAACAAAGATGCTGATAGCCGTATAACCAAAGAAACATGTGGCTTATATTTAAAATAACAGATTTGAAATAAATTTTGTGAAAGAAAAAAAAGGACTTGACAATTTGCAAAACTATCCATTTATCTCTCTGTTTGAACTATTACACTGCCTCTTTTGCCACAGACAAATTGAAAGCTTCTGATTGAAGACGTGGACAATGAGAGTTTTATGTCCCATTTAATTGGAAGTTGGATTTGAGATAAAGAAGAGGTACACATATTTTGCTTACCAGTTCTGGATGAAAGACTGATGTTGATTTATGCAGCCATCTTAGCGCTTTGTTTCTGTTATCGCAAGGGTGCAGCCTCAGAGCCCCCATATCAGGGACGGGAGCTAAGCACCATTCTTCTTGTTTAATAAGTCTTAGCCAGGTGTAATTAAATTGTTGAAGCTGTCGGGAAATGAACAAGGAGAAGGTCACTTCAGGCAGCAAACACAGGTAGGGGGTTTGCCGAACATTTTCATTAGCAATGGTCAAGGATACAGGCACTTTGATCAAATGTTTTGTACCCAAATCCCGGTATTGCCACTTTCAATTCTGACAGCATGGGCATATTATTACCATATCTAATTTCATTTTTATCATTTTTAAGTTGGATAGCAATAGGGTGTATCTCAGAGAGTTGAGGTAATGACTGTTAAGTGTTTAGCACACAGTAAGCCCTCAATAAATGTGAGTTGCAGTAATAAAAATTATTGAGTACGGTTAGTATATGTCTATAAATAGAGGTCATTTCAGGTGTTCTGAATCCCAGACAAGCCTGGTGCCTGAAGTAGTGGAACATTCAAACCATCCGTAGCCATTAGGGCTATAAGGAGATCCAAATCACAGTCCTAAATTACTTTGGTGGAAATTATTATGCTTCTTTGTTTAAGACTATCTAGATCTAGAGGCGTTGTAGGAAAGGTTAAAAAAATCTTTCTTAAGGCTAAAAAACGTTTCTATTGTAAGAAAGGTTAAAACTCTTTCTATGCTGATAGCCGAAAGAGTCATCAGGTTCTGCTCTACCAGCATCCCCTAGTTCATAAGAACTACTCTTGGAGAAGTCCAGTTTTGGGGAGTTGCCAACATCTAAATCAGGTAATGGAACCATGTTTTCAGTTTTTATAAGTATTTTATCCAGTTATTTACACCCTAGTACTATCTGCCTGGTCAATTTATTCTAAGTCTGTGGGTTTGTGGGAAGTTTGTTGTTTTGCACAAATGTGAACATAAAAAAAAAATAGACTGCTGCTAAAATTTATCTAAATGCTTTTACTTACTGAATCATTTGTAATGTAATTGAGATTTAACTTAGATTATCAAGTATGTCATTGAGTTAGACCTCACCACTCAAAGGGTAGTCTCTGGCCCAACATCAGCACCACCTGGGAGCTAGTTGGAACAGCTGAATCTCAGCCTCTTGAACCTCTTGAATCAGAAATGAACCTCTTGAATCAGAAATCTGTATTGTAACAAACTTTCCAGGTGATTTGTGTGCACATTAAAATTTGAGAAGCATGGTCTTATGTCATAATATAAGGAAGTTATGTGGCTATTAAGAGAAGCTAGACATTACCTTTAAAAGGGATATCTCAGCTGGTTGAAAAGTTAATAGCTAAGACTTTTAGGTAAAGTGTAGGATAAGGCTTGGTGGTTCAATCCTCGGGCTTTATTCCTTTTGAGCTTTTTTGGATGAATGCTATAAACTGGCTTGGTATTAAGCTTCGTTAATTCTGCCAAAATAAGTTACCTTCCTCCAAATCCCTTTACTTTTTATTATTCAAACAAACGACAAGCTTAAAATGAGTAACAAGACAAGGGAGACGGGGTTTGTGGAAAGCAGGGGCTGCATATTCATACTTTCGCCTCCCAGCATCCCCTTGAGAAACTCGGTGGTTATCCAGACCACAACTTGGGTCTTCAGATAAAATACTGGTTAATCAGGCACAGAAAAGCACGAGAAGAATGAGTCTTGAAGGGCTGAATGAAATAATACTTTACTTTCATATAATTTGGACTACTTGTAGTTTTATTTTGTAATTTATGACTTTATTTCCTCTTTGAATTATTAATATGAGTTGTATCTTTCAAATGATTTTTGACACTTTTCTCGTCCCTCTGCCTCCTTTCTTTCCTAATTAAGAGCTCCCTCAGCCTCAAGTTTACAACCCATAGCTGAATTATAGCAACAGAAAGGACAAAAATATCTTTTCAGCTTTGAATTAAGAGGTAGAAAGGAGACGTGCTCAGAAATAGAAGCAATATCTCTAAGTCAAAGCAAACAGGTAAGCCGAGGGAAGCCTAGATTCTCATCACAAAATAATTTCTTTACCAAAGAGTGATTTACAACTTTAGGATGCTGAGTTTTACCCATGGATTGATGTTTTTATGAGTTTTATTTGGCATTGAAACCAATAATATCTGCACAGAATGAGAATCGGTGGGGAACATTCCCTGAAGAGGGAGGTGCCATCACTCAGACCTCACCTCCAGCTCTGCAGAGTCCCTGCTCTGTTCTCCCTGGCCCTTCTTCCTCCCCTAACCATTGTGCTCTGAGTTTGTCAGAGATTTGCTAAAGGGTTTTCCACCATGGATCATGGATTCTGTAATTTGCATTACTCCCTCAATATGTAGGAGAATGGGGAAGAAGGGACTGAATCAGAATAAAATGTCTCCCTTAGATTATTTAAAAATATGCTCTGCCTTTATTTCCTTTATTTTTTTATCTTTAGATGTAATTTTTTTATTTTTTCACATTTTTTGTCTTTATTATCATAACAGTGAACATCTGCAGAGCACTGAGTGTTAAATATTGTTCTACATGCTTCATCTGTATGACATAATTTGATCCTCAAACCTGATTTAGGGGTAGGTGCTGTTATAACTGCTATTTACCTAAAGGTTAAAGGATTTGCAAAGGTAACACACTTGAAAGTGACAGAGCCAGAACTGGGTCCCTGGTAGGTGGACTTCAGTACTCATAGGTTTACTCCCTTGGTCACTAACTTTACATTTAGCGGCAGGCTGTCTTAACAGCAACCTTATGATCATGTAAAAATTTATACATTAATTAGTGTTTGTACAGCAAAAATAAATTTTTCAAGTGAGTGGTAAATGTGCACTTATCAGGTACACCTGCTCCATCTATCAACCGTGTCTATGATAAGAGAGGAAACCCAGCCCAGCGTACCTTGCTGCTCGCATCACAGTCTTCCAAAGTGGCTATGGTGTTTTCAATGGAAATGCATTTGCCCAAGGCCACATTAATAAGCTAGGGAACAAAATATAAAATATGCATTAAGAAAAAAATATTTTAAAGTAGAACAAGACATTCAGAAAGCACAGACTATAAAACTATAATAAGGTTAAAAGATAGTTAAGTTGATAGCTTAGCATTACTTAGCACTATACGATTTTATTGGTTGCTATCTCTAACAGAGACATAATGTAATCTTGCTAAAGTACAGCTTCAATCTGTCAGTTTAGGCCTATGATTCAGCCACAGAGCCAACAAACAGAAGCTTTTAATTAACCCTTGCCTGGAATGCTGAATAGGGAATGAGCAAAAGGTAGCATGAAAAGTAGTTATTTTCTTGTCTCAAGTTTTTCTGATGCATACATTAAAAGTCAATGCATAGACTTGCAATTTAATCAAACCAACAGTTACAGGCTCTGTTCCCTGGCTGACCCCTTCAAGCTATTTCACTGCTTAGGCACTGAATCATAGATAAATTGAGTCCTTCAAAGAATAGCAGATTCCAGCTGATTCTCTGTCAGAATCTTCCTAATGACTCAGGCAAGCTACAATTCATTACAGGAAAGTCATGAAAGCTAATACAGAGCCAAACTTAAAGGCACTATCTGGCAGGCCCCCAGGTTTTTAATGGATTTGCAGGGTCAAATATGGAGGCAGCTTTCTATAAGTCACCATTTAATACAGAAAAATGTTGATTCCCTTGCCCCCTTTGACATCTTGGGCAAGGCTAACGAGCTGGTGAGTTAATAGTGCAATTTAGACTTCTTAGATTCCTAGAAGAGCTGTGTAGAGTCAAGTCTACACTCAGGAAAGCCTTCTGAGCTGGGAGGTGGTGAAGTCTTTGTTGGCAAGGTCACTATTTATGCCCCATCCTGTTCTGTGGTGCCCAACACAGAGCTCTAACTCTGGGGTATTGTAAGATACAGCTGTGTAGCTCAGAGCTGTAAGCCTTCATAACAGGGTGCTCACTTTTACATGCATAGCTTAGCTTGCAAGAAAGTCAGGGGCAACTTCAGGGACCAGAAAATGAAACAAAACAAAGCCCTTTAGCAAGTGGGAAAATTACAAATGCTGGTAGGCAAGGGACCAACATTGTAAGAACAGGAGAAAAAATAAGAGTGAGCGAGAGAGTTGGAACTACAGTCTTCCACATAAAGATGGACGACTAAAAAATTAGACCCTCAGTAGAACAATGTCCCAGGAAAAACAATTTACCCCGTAGGTAGCACAGGGAGACAACAGGGAAACTAGAGTCTCCTTTGGGAATCTGAACCTTACATGGACCTTCATTTGGGTTTGAGATGCAAGTTTATACTACTTCCATTGGATAGGAACTTTGACAGACATAAAAATAGTACCAGGTTGAGGGCGTCTGGGTGGCTCAGTTGGTTAAGCGCCTGCCTTTGACTCAGGTCATGATCCCAGGGTCCTGGGATCCAGCCCCACAACTGCCCAATTCCAAGCCCCACAGCAAAGGGCTCATGCTCAGTGGGGAGTCTGCTTCTCCCTCTCCCCCTCCCTCTGCCCCCCTCACCCCACCCCCACCTCACTCATGCCCTCTCGTGCTCTCTCTCAAAGAAATAAATCAAATCTTAGAAAAAAAATAGTACCAGGTTGGTTACTTCTGGGGTGGCTGGCAGGTAAAACAACTCTAGAAGGACAGAATTTCCATCAGAAATCTTCAAAGAAAACTCTATTCACAATGTAGAGTGACAAATGTGGGAGGAGACAATCCACCATTAGGAAATGGAGCAGTCAGGACGCACAGAAAGAATCAACTTTAGAGAAGCGATTTAATAGAAATGCATGAAAGAAGGATAGTCCTGGAGATTAAAGAAAGGAAATGTGCTCCAATTGCTCTCTGGATTTTAACAGAGATAAGTATAAACTTCTGTATTTGTGGATTACTCAGAAAATATTCTGTCTTCCCACGCGTTTGGAAAACTGGCTTCAATACAGCCAAAGAGGTTGTACAGCTCCAGAACCTCGCAGAACCTCCAGTACGTTAATGTTTAGTTCTCTGCTATAAGAGGGAGTGAAGCATAAGTGTCTGCCAAATATATTTGGCCCTGGGATCCTATTTCTGGCAGCACAACTAACATTGCCCAGAGCAGTGTAGGGAACTCCTGGTTTAACCGATTTTTTTGTATTTATTTTGTACAGTCCCTTCTGCCAAGCATGGAAAAGCATTAGATGGAAGGAAAAAATTTTTCTTTCCCTTGCTTTCCACTCCCTTGCTTTCTCTGAAGATTTGTTTTCCTTCCTCCCTATCAGAAATTTCTGGAGAAACTGCTTTTCTTCACATAGAAATGATTTATGAAGTCCTAAGGAGTTGTTTTTCTTTGTCTCATTATGAATGGTTTTAAAAATGGAATCCTCATTTTATTTTCAAGGAATTGTATTTATGCTTTTATTATAAACCACTTCAATCTTTTTTTTAAAAATCAGGCAGTCTATACATTTTAAATTACCCATTTTGAATTATTTCACTTTCCAATTTAGGAGGTGGAGTTTCCCACAGTTCATCACAGAATTACTAAACATTGGGCTACAGGCTATTTGCTAAGCATCTAATCCAATATAAAGACACATTATTAGTGAGGTTCTTTCACTCATTAAATATTTTTGGTTCAAAAAGATATGATATGTTCTTATAAAAAAAGAAAAGGAAACAAAAATCTTGCGCTGTAAATCCTAATAGGATTGAAAGAAGGGAAAATGTGGAGCAAATGACAAAAAGTTGTAGAGTTTATTTTCTTGGGACTTTTCAAAACTGTCTGTCCAAAATAATTGTCATGTTAATCTTAGTCTGAAATATCTGGAAAAAGATCTTTTTTTAAAACTGGTAATAATGCTCCCTACTGGTTATTTAAGAAGGGAGCAAATGATACCTTGATTATAATTTGTCCAAGGAAAGCAACAAATAGAATTTAAAAAATCATTTAAAAATATTTTCTTCATTTTACTATATTATAGCTCAGGCATCAGCAAAAGGCTGTTACAGGAGGGCTCTTCAGAAATTTCATGGGAACTCATACACAAGTTAACCTCACAGGGGAAGCAAAAGGTAGTTTTTTAGTTCCCTCTGGTGGTTAAAATTCAGTAATGCTCTTACTGAGATCCTGTGTTAGGAAAAAAAATTACTATGCTGAGAATTTCTTTTTTTTCTTACTCAGGAGTTAGAATTAAAATATATATATAAGTTTATTTTACAGACACATTATTTGAACAGTGTATAAATCCGGGGTATTCTTCCTAACGAGTTACCTAGAAAAAAACACCAGGTTGAGAACTACCAGAAATAGCTGCTATTCTATTTTGACCTATAAAAATGACAATTTTATACTACATTATGTTACCCACAAACAGGTCACATATACTAGTTTGGCAGTTGAATTTTTACGTTTTCTTTCTTTCATACTCTTCCAGAATCTCCCCTATATGGTCGGGGAGAATGGCTTTACTAAGTCCTTGTCATCAGGAAATTTCCCAGGCAGAGAGTGAGAGTGATTGGTTTGTAAAATTCACTTTCTAGGGAGAACTGAACAAACATGGCCTAAAACAACAGGCTTACTGATGGTCAACTCTGAGAACCTCTTTCATGAAGAAAAAGAAAATTCTTAAAGAAAATGAAATAGTGCCTGGAATATTTATAAATAAAAAATAAATGAGAAAACAATAAAACAGATTAAAAATATGCATGACTGGGGAAGAGCTCTAGGTCAAGGCTTGACTAATCACTTCTAAACCTATTCTATGGTAAATAACCTCATGTCTTGCCATCCTCTTCAAATTAAGCCCCAACCCAGAATGGGTTTGAAATGGCTTTCATCCAGGTTCTCTGCTTTCTTGCTTTAGTTCTTAGCTTTGTACTCCATCCAATCTGTTTAGCTTGGTTTCTTCCCTTTTGGCACATTACATTGTGCCCTGGAATTTTTTGTCATCATTTGATGATTTCTTTTATTTTCAACCTGTGTTTGAAATCTGTAAAAATCTAATTAAATCACGTTGTTGCATTGCTTAACCTCACTCAATAACCTCCTTTTACATTGGGGGGGGAGAAAGAAAGAAAGAAAGAAAGAAAGAAAGAAAGGAAGGAAGGAAGGAAGGAAGGAAGAAAGAAAGAAAGAGAAAGAAAGAAAGAAAGAAGCAAAGAGAAAGAAAGAAAGGAAGAAAGAGAGAGAGAGAAAGAAAGAAAGAAAGAGAAAGAAAAAGTAAAGGAGAAAAAGAAAGAAGGAAGAAAGAAAGAAAGAAAAAGAAAGAAAAGAAAGAAAGAAAGAAAGAAAGAAGGAAAGAGAGAAAGAAAAAGGAAGGAAGGAATGAAGGAAGGAAGAAAGGAAGAAAGGATCCTTACTCTGCCTACAAGGACCTATGTAACATGACTCTTCCTCCCTCCTCCCCTTCATTTGGTGCCATTCTTCTCTCCTTCACACCTTGACAACATTCATCTTCTTGGCAGTTCTTGAATGCCTGGATAGTCATCTTAGAGTTTTTGCACCAAGGGGAGTCCTCTGCCTAAGACTCGATCCTTTAGAGCTTGGCTGACACTTGTCTTCCAGGCCTAGGCTTCAACATTTCTTCAGGGTTGAATACTCTAGCTTAGAAGGAGTCATCACTTGTGACCAGTTCCCTAAATGAGAGCCATTCTATTTTTTATTTAAATGTTACATACTTGTACATTGTTTTCCCTACTCAACTTCAAGCTCCACAAACAGGAATCAAGTCTGCTTTATACATCACCCTATAATCCAGTTCTGAAATGCTGTCTGGCTTATTGATACCCAGTAGGTATTGGCTGAAGTAATCAATGAACATGGCTGCTTAAAAGCCTCCCTCAAGTTCACCTATATTTAACCCTTAACTTGCTCTGTCTCATCTGCACTCATACTTAGTATTTACATATAATGTAATTCTTCATTCTTTTCCACACATTTTCAAGAGTTTTTAAACTTTATTTTTATGGAGTCAGAATGTAATTGCTGCTTGAACTTACCACACCATTAGCCCTCACAATGGGAGCCTTTAGATCAGGAAAAACATTCTCCAAGTACCATTTGAAACCTTTGCATTTTAGTTTCTTTCGAAGTTCCTGTTGTTCGGTGAGGTTTCCAACATCTAACCCTTGGTCTATGAGGTGGTCCCCATGGCCATAGAATAGCTCCTTGTACTCATCAAGCCAGACCTCAGCAACCCGCACCAAGTTCCGCTCTACTGTCTTCATCCGGTCTTTGGGGAAGGAGTATGGATTGTCATTTCTGAATATGTGGCCCACTCGGGAACAGGGAATGATCTCAATTTCACCACCACACATCCACACCTGGATGATAATAAACATCAATTATCAAATGATGTCTGCAAATCATGGGCAGTTATCAATGACAAGGAACGACCTGGTGACCACTCTCTCCTCCCCCGAGTCTGAAGTAGTTTTTTTTTTTTTTTCATTAGTTTCAAATTAAACTCAACAGGTTTATTTAGTTTTGTACATTGCTGTGGACCATTTTAGGATTCGTAAAATATATTTTTTATTCCCTACCCATCAATGTACATCTTCTTATTTTATAAAGAAATTCTCGCTGAATCGCAAAGTATAAAATATGGAATATGGATTCTTGTTTTGGTTGGATCAGGGAAAGGAGTGTATATTTCCATGTTTTCAACTTTCTCTTCTCATCTTGGGATGACCCATATGACTTATGGAGCACAACTTGAAAATGAGCTCAAAGTAATAGCCCTTTTACTATATACCACCCCACTCCTCAGGAAAGCAGTTGCCTTTTGGATTCTCTTTACTCTGGCTACTGCCAAGGCTTTCTTAGCTGTTGATCAATGACTATAAATACCCAGAACTGTCTGAGATGTCCAAAGTTGGTGCACCATTGCCTGTTGTACTTCTGTCACTTGTGCTATCTAACATGACCCATTACTGAATGATTTCATTACTTCCGATATACTAGAAAAATGTTCCCAGAGATATTTTGTGTGAAGCATGAATCCCACAGCATTTATACAGAATGGCAGATGTTATTTCTCCCAAGTCACATGTAGAAAAAGGACTATAAAATACTGGGGAATTCTAATAAATTTCATGAGAGCTATTGATTCTTCCAAATTTAATCTGGGATATAAAAACATTAATCTAGAGGCCCTTAAATTTCTGTGGAATTTCCTCCCTGAGGCAGTCCCATATCTGATTATACATTAGTAAAAAGAAACCAAATGATAAAGTCTTAATTGTAGAGAGGATTTGAGGACCACTTGGTAATACCTTGAATGAGAGCTCCATATTTTCTCCACCCCAGACATCAAGCCCAGGGTCGTATGTTCCAAGTTCAAAAAAGTAATTTTTATCAATAGAAAACAATCCACCTGCCATGACGGGGCACCTATAAAAAGAAATGTTTGATTTTTTAAGCTTGCATGTCATGGGAATTCAACGTTTCGAGTGGGTCCCTGTGCAGTTGTGATGGAGTTAAGAGATATTTTAAAATAGCTACCAAGCACGGAGAGGTCTTGGAATGGAGTCACAAATAGCACCGAAGTCATCAGTTCCCTAGTTCATGGTGGCAAAGCTTGATTAGGGTCAGCAAAGATGGGGCCTGGAAGTAGGATTCTTATTTGCCCTTTACTCTCTGACACAAACTCTCCAGATAGGTTATTATTTTTTTCCATGCAGAACGTTGCCTCTTTAATACCCATCACCAGGCATCCCTGACCCCCCTCCCCTCTAGAACCCTCAGTTTGTTTCTCAGAGTCCATAGTCTCTCATGGTTCTTCTCCTCCGATTTCCCCCCCTTCATTCTTCCCCTCCTGCTATCTTCTTCTTCTTCTTCTTTTTTTTTTTGTTAACATATAATGTATTATTTGTTTCAGAGGTACAGGTCTGGGTATGTGCTATGGTGAGCGCTGTGAATTGTGTAAGACTGTTGAATCACAGACTTGTACCTCAGATAGGTTATTTTTAACAATGCCTATTTAATAGTACTAAGGGAGTACCAGGCACTGTTGTAAGTATTATGTATGTAATTATCTCAGACTTTATGAAAATCCTGCAAGTATGTACCATTAAGAAACCACAGCACAGAAACGGTTAGGAACTTTCCCAAGGTCACAGATTAGTAAGATGTACTTCGGGGGTTCAGTTTAGGTGGTCTAGTTCGACTCTATGATCTCTTACTCCACTCTACTGCCTCAACTGTAGACAGATTTTTATTGACAGCTTATTATGTGGCAAACACTTTTTAAAGCATGTTATATAATCGGATTTAATTCTTAGATAATAGAGGTAGCTCCTTCTATTAGTCTTAATGCAGAAACAAAACAAAACAAAACAAAAAATGAGGACACAGAGATTCAGAGAGGTTAAGTTACTTTTTAAAGTTCACAAGACTCCAGAGTGTTTGCGACTGTTATAGATTATGGGGGATAGAAACTACACTTGAATCAGCAACTAGACAAGGCAGCAATCCCTTCCCATGGTGGTTACCATTGAGCCAGTGGAAAGGTTTGTGTGGAAAGCCTGTCTTGTGTTTAGGGTACAAAGCAATGTCAAGGATAAGGTAATTCTTGCCCCACACCTACTTCCCTACCCCCATCATTTATGTACATATTCTGTCTGATTGCCCAATGTCCTTTCTAGTCCATCCAGAATGCATTGTCTTCCTAATGTTATGTGGAATATAATCTGAACTCAATCACTACATTAACTCTCAAAATGGGAGTCTGAAAAAGGCAAAGAGGTTCTTTAGATGTGGGATCAGAGTAAGTGTGTTAAATGCAGGCAGATATGGGTTTGAGTCCCAATTTGTTCTTTTACCAGATGTATATCCTGTGGAAAATTACTTCTTTTAGGCTCAATTTCCTTATCTCCACAATGACAATACTACCACTTCTCTCCTAGGGTTAGAGAGAGGCTTAAATGCACAGTGCTTAATAAATGATAGTACTTCTATTTGACTTGCTAGGAATATCAACTCTGACGGCATCATACCTAGCAAGGGATGAGGCATGCAGTATTGAGGGTTAAGTTCTGAGAAATAATGTTACAATGCACAGTCTGGGCTGGGGCTTTCTCTTGACACTTGTCTGCTCAAGTTCTCTCTCCAACTGGGAAGGCTTTGGGGACCCCTGTTGCTCTGCCTGAGGCTGGCTGCATGCTTGTCCTGCAGGTCTAGACTCTGCAGGAAGTGTTCACTTTGGCTTCAGGTCTAAGCTGTGATCTTCAATCCAGCTTCTCCAGCAATAAAGCCCCTCTTTTAATTCATATCCACCTTCTGTATCTATTTCTCAATTCATTCACAGAATTTGGCTCCCATGGGAAGGGTAGGATTAGAATTCAAAAGAAAATCCAAACGGTAGCTATTATTACAATAATATTTTTACCACTATTATTTACTCTTCTCATTTTTACTCATGTTGGCTTTAACATTATATGTGTTCATACAGCGTTTATGCAGCATATTCAATTAGTTTATATTTCTTAAGTTGTCTATCCCAGGGAACAGGAATAGTATTAGTGAATTTCCCTGGGTTCAGAGCTGAATAAGTTGCACTTAACCATTTAAAAAATGAGGTTTGGTAGTGGGAAAGTAGTATCTTAGGAAAACTTTGCTTTTGATTATCTATTGGCTAAAGCTGTAATTCTTGATGGTCTACAGAATGACAGGAAACACTTGTTTTGTGGAATTGTTTCCTATGCCTTTATAAAAAGATACACGATTGCTTTCCAATCTTAAAATTTCACTCACTTACCTTATTATATCTGTTTCTTTAATTCTGTTTTTTGCAACAACGTCTGGAGGAATTGTTCTCCAACCAAAGTTCATGGGCCACACAAAGATGCCTCTTTGAAAGTTGTCCACTGTCATGTAACTAATCCAGGAAAGAAACAAAAGTGCTACCTGAGATCATACACATATACTTAAGCAACCTGACACCATGTCTTGTTCAAATGAATGAAACAAGTTCTTACACAAATGATTTTAGATTATCACAAACTTTTTAATAACATTTCAAGCAAATTTATGAGTACAACTTACATTAGTGACTAACTGGCTTGAGTGCTAGTTTTTAACTTATACTTTACTTTTAATAATGTTCTGACTATTTTTGAGGGAAAAAACAATTTAAGAGCTTATGTATTATTTCCCACTAAAAGAAGAACTAATCTTAAGGAAGATAAATATTTTCTGGGTTCAGGTACAGCTGAATAGAAAGAGGAAAGAACAGGACACTGAGTATTAGGATTTATTGCTATTAAGAGTTAAGCATTTTGATGATCAAATTACTGGATTGACCTTCTCTGATCCCAAGATATCTATTATGTGTTTCCATTTATTTAAATTGATGCACTGTGTATTTCTTAGATTTGCAAAAATGTGCATTTTAGGAATATGATCAGTACTTTCTGCTGCTGTTAAAGACTCGCTTAGAAGTATCTTGTGGAATATGACAGTATTACCTCATATCTTTATCATTGATGACTTCAATTACTGGACAGGCTACTTTCTTTCTACTTAAATAAACCCTTTCCAGAAGAGGTTCCAACCAACCAATGTTACATTCCACGTGAGAATCCAAGAATGTCAACACATCACCTAGAGAGCCAGAAAAAAAAAAAAAATCATTTGAAAATGTGATATACTGAATGTATGTACTTCATGTTCAAAGGTTTTGGGGATTGCTCCAGAAAGGTGATTATAAGGGCAGTAGTCTTCTCACTGAATTCCTGGTCCCTATAATTTCATCCTATAATGAAATAAAATAAATTTTGTTTCTACAAGTCCTATGGGACAAGCATCATTTTTGTTTGTGAAAAATTGATAAGCCACTTAGAATGGATAGCCAAGACTTTGAAGGGAATCCTTAGTAGTAAAGGGTTTGTCTCTTCTAAGGAGGGTGGGTCACATTAACCTGGGGTGGGGGTGTGTGGACCAGGCAGAGTTTGATATTCCAAGGTGGGCCTTAGGAATGATGAAGAGGAGAAATCATTCTGCATAACAAGGGTGAAAACAAATAAAAAAGGAAGAATCAGCAAGGTTAGAAGGTAGTGTAAAAAGTGTTACAGGGATGGGGAGGGAGAATAGGGAATAGTTTAATGGGTATAGAGTTTTAGTTTTGCAAGATGAAAAGCATTCTGGAGATTGGTTGCACAACTGTGTGAATATACTTCAGAGTACTGGACTATGCACTGAAGAAATAATTAAGATGGTAAATTTTATGTTACGCATATTTTGTTGCAATAAAAAATCAAAGACTTGTAGGAGAAAAAAAAGAAAAAAGAAAAAAAAACTTGGAGGCCAAAAAATAATCACTAAAAATTCTTTTTTTCCTATTAGTTGTGTGAAATAATACTCTCTTCCCAATAAAAATCTCCATAGCATCTACATTGTTCCAAATGATTTTATACAAATGGAGTGTTTGTGTGTGTGTGTGTGTGTGTGTGTGAAGATTAACAAATAACCTGAGGAATTTGGGCTATGGCCAAAATCCTATATGTGTCCTTTCAGGCCCAACCATAGGCAAATTACAAAGGCTTTCCCTGGCAGGTCCTCATGGCTGGAGGCTGCCCTCTCACACCAGACGTGGTCTGCAGCCAGCGCACCACAGCCTCTGAAGGGACTTGCAGTCAAGAGCTCAGGCCCTCCCTCTCCCTCAGTGGACATACTTTCAGCATAGCTTCATTCCTAGCTCAGTTTCCTCCATCGGAGGCCTCCTTCAGGCTAAGATCTCTGTCTCACCGCATGGGAGGTGGGGAGGTCACCAGGACCTTTTCCTCCATCTGACTCAGCATTCAGCACTTTCCCACTCGGAGCCCTCTCCTTTTTCTCACCCTTGGCCCCAGGCTGTAAAACAGGAGGAGCCGTTTGTTCTGGGCTCCGTGGACAGTGAGATGATCCTCACATCTACCCAATCCACCAGCCCATTTCTCTACAGGGAAACATGGGACATTCAGGGAGTCAGCACTTTCTTCTGTTTCAATTCTTACTTATACTTCTTACTCATATTAGTGCAGGAAATGATTAAAGACTTGAGGGTTGCTTTCCTTTTGGCTTATTGTTTGCATTGACCACTCTGACACCTGGCTGCTCCCCTCTGCTCTTGATAAGCTTACAACAACATCAATTACCTTCTATTAAGTGCTTACTCGATGCCAGACACTGTCCTAAGCATTCTACATGAGTGTCTTGTTTAAGCCACACAACAAACCTGAAGTATAATCTAATTTTTCTTTCCATTTAAGAAATGAGATGCAGATCTAAGTTTTATTCCCATTTAAGAGAAACAAAGAACTGAAACAATTTTTTCAAGTTTGCACAGTTAAGTGGCAGCCTGATATTTGAAAATACATAGTTTATTCCATTGCCTGTGTTCTTAAAAAAAGAAAGAAAAAACGGTCAGAAAGAGGCAGGGCTATGAGAATGGGAAGGCTTAAAATAAAAGCAGAAGACGGCAGCAGGCAAAGAACAAGGTGAAATTAAATACCTAGATGATAGTTCATTATCCACTAAAAGCTATACCTCTTCATTAATGGTTCAGTAGCGTATTAACTGATCAACAATGGAATTTTTGCATGAGGGTAAAGAAACTGATTTTAGCCAAGGTCTTGGTGAGGAATGCTCTTGAGAAGTCTCTAGGCAGGACCAGGCTGTGCTAGACTGAAGCCCCTCCCCCCATTATCCCCAACTCTTGGAGACGGTGGTTACAACTCCTGATCATGCTGGTGGAGTCCTATTTGCAGAGATTATGGCTTATTTGATAATGAAAGGTCATTATCAACTAAGGGTGTCATTTTGCACAGCCCACTCCCTGTGTGGGAATGTTCACAGGGGTTATCTAGGTGCGTAGGGTGCGTAAACATGGCCTGCTAAGGTCCTACTTGGCTAGTGAATAGCATGTGCAGAAGATAACCTCCTTTTTCTCACTACTTCTACTGCTGGTCCGTTCGAACCAAAGAGCAGTCTCTACCAGACTGCCTGTCCCTATCCCCAGAGTAAGCTGGTATGGTCAAAGGGGCCTGGATTGACTTTCTCAATCCCTGGTGGCAGCAGGATGGGTACCCAAACCTACATTCGTTTCCCACCTGGCCCAGATTCCCATACAGATTTTCATTCACTTGTTGCCAGGACCCAAAGGAAGCAGCTTCTGCCCAAAACACAGACTGGAATTTTATACTGTTTTATTTTGGGTGAGAAGAGAATCCTCCCATGCATGAATGTCATTGCTCCACTTTCAGACACTTTAATTTAAAATAAGATCTCCGGAACTAGACCAGGGAGCTATCTATGTAGCTGACTCTGGTTAGGACTTCTACTTGTAGAAGGTATGGTCTGTGGACGTTTCACATACACCCTTCCTAACCCTGAGGGCATGGTGAAATGAACAGAGTATCGAAGCCGCATAGCTCTGCTTTCCTTAGCTACAATGGATAAATTATTTAACCTCTCTGAGATCTACCTTCTTGGGATAGTTCTAAGATCTTCCTAATACCTAAATTCCTTATAAATAGCTAGTGTTATTACTGTTTTTTAAATGAGTGTTTAAGCTACAGCCCCAAATAGTCCTATCTTGATGACCACCTGGCAGGCTTTTCTGTTTCCTAAGAGTAGGTCCCAGCGATGCTGGATTGTTTGCAGATGGGTTTGATTGTAACTTATTCATTTGTTTACTTCTTGACCAACCCAGAGATGCTCCCATGCCAGAAAGCTTTGGCTCCTTGTTGAGTACAGACCCCCATTTCTATTTAGCCAACCAGCTTGGAATATTGTTGCCAGCATCAATTAGTGTTGGAGTGTTGTCTTTAGGGTTCCTTGAGGGATGTGGACCTGGCTGGCCATTTAATTTTACATAATAATTTATAAGTGATGCTAATTACCTGCAGCAGAAACAAGTTGTAGAACTTTACAGAAGGACCGGGGCACTGGTTAAGCGACTGCCTTCGGCTCAGGTCATGATCCCGGAGTCTCGGGATCGAGTCCCACATCGGGCTCCCTGCTGAGCGGGGAGTCTGCTTCTCCCTCTGCCCCTACCCCCTCTTGGGCTCTCTCTCTCTCTCTCTCTCACTCTCTCTCAAATAAATAAATAAAAAAAAAACTAAAAAAAAAAAAGAAATTTACAGAAGGACCATCGCTTTTCAGGAGACCTTAAGGTTGTCCAGGAGTCAGATGTCATTTCAGTCCACATACTTAAAGTTAGCCAACTGATTCTTTGGAATGTTCACAGCAATGTCATGTATTTTGCCAAATGCCCTTGTTATAAAGGAAATGAGAATCTGATCTCTACTCTGACTCTCTAGAGTGTACTATTGAACCTGCCCATCTGCAGACTCTTCTTGGCAGGGCAATAACTTGCTCTTTTGTTCAATACTCGCACGAGATCTGAGTGGTCAGCTTGTTCACTTTGTACCTCATTTACTACATCTCTTTTTACTTGCGTTGGCTTCCTATAGGACACTTTCCCTAGAGATCCATTGACTGTGGCCTGCCCTTCAGATTTTTAAATCCTACTTGAACTCTCTATCTCCTCATTCTCAGGAAATAACTGATTGGACCCGATCTTTTTGCCTGAATCATATCCAGATGAAGAGCCTATCATGCACTGGAAACTGAACATGTAGTGAACATTGTTAGTGGTCAGAGAGTCACTGTTTTGCTCTTATTATTTTGTATTATGTACTTTCAGAGAGTCTAATAATACTCTGGGATCAAAATAGTACCCTGGGACCAAATCTGACCAATTTCTGCAGGTCCTTGGATCTTTGATCTCATCCTTACCTGTGGCTTCCCCTCCCTTTTCCCTGAATTCTAAAGGGTAAATCTTTAGGAAACAATAGCTGTCAAGGCCTGTCAGATTCTGCATTCAGATTCTTGTCATTCATCTCTTTGTTTGGCTGAGGCAGTCCAGAGAAAATCTTTGCCCTGGTATCTTTCCTGATCTCTGATTACAGAGACTTTTCAGGCCCAGAATGTGTCCTGCCTGTGCTTTACTTGGGGTGGCTGGGGGATGCCCAGGGGAAGTCTGGGAGAACTAACAGGCTGGCCAGCCCCACTTAGGGCCAGGCCCTTGACAGTTCCTGAATTATTTCCTCAGCTAAAGCTGCTACGGGCTTCTGAAGCCCCTTGAATTTCCTACAGGAGCCAGGTGCACTTCAGGGCCCTTGGATGTACTCTTGGACAAGGCTGTTAACTAATTCCATCAGAACACACTTTTCAGCTTCTTCCAAGTTCAGGCATTGGCCTTTTGCTAATACTGCTCAAAGTGTGGGCCATAGACCCTGCTATCAGAGATAGGAACGGAAATTGAGAATGGATGATTTAAAACTCTAGCAGTTTGCTGGAATTTGTTAATTTATTCTCTGTTTTATACAGGTGTATGTATATAACATAAAAGTCATTACTTATGTCATCTGTGTCTTATCTATGTTATACATACACACACGTATATATTATACATAATAAATTTATATATATCTACATACATAGAGTATAGATGAATGCACATATAATTGTGTACATATCTTTCTTTTTTTCCATTTCTTTCTTAGGTAGTTTATCTTTATTATAATTTACAAAGGGGCAGGTCCACAAAATTTGGAAATTAGAAAAAAAAAAGTTCTTCTATGATAGTTTGAGAAGCAGCTCTTCACTAGACAGTGGCAAGCAATTAAGATGCACCTAGTTGGCCTCTCCAAACTAGAGCTGTGACCCCTTATCAAGTCTTTACAACAATATAGTGGGCTCGGTCAGAATCTAAAAAACAAATAAAATAGAAGATATTAGAATCTGCTGCACATGTTATTTCATGAAATGTCTACTGTAGTGACCTGTGTAACATATATATGCACTGGGTTGTGATGTAAGATTTATTTCTTAACATGGGTCATGGTACAAATAGTTTTGAGAGTTACCAAACGGAAACTGAGCTAATGCACTCAAGGGTGTTAATGACCGACTGAGAGCCAAGTTTACATTGTTACATTTGGATTTTCTAAATTCAAAGAAATTATTTGCTGGCTCTATAACCGCAAGTGCTTGAGCAGGCCGATAAGGCAACTTCTTTGAGCGAGTTCATTGCAGCCCATCTGAAGAGGCCTTCCGTGTTGTCTAACAGTTTAGACTGTTCTGGAGATGATCGCCAGCATGCTTTGTGTCCCATGCAGGCAGAGAGAAGGTTTTTATAAGCAGTACATTTTTGGTTCTGCACTTGTCAGCTTTCTCTACATGGATGTCTCATTTTCATCTCAAATTTACATGGACAAAATCGGAACTCAACAGCAATCCCAAATCTGTTCCTCTGGTTATGGCCCCACCGCCCACCAAGTTGCTCAGATGCCAATTCCAGGGTTTTTTTGTTTTTTTTTTTTCACTCCTCTCACTATTACTCTCTTCATATCTTATCTGATGACAAGCCCGTGGGCTCCATGTCCACAATATATTCTTACTCTGACCCCTTCCTTCATCTGCCCGAGTACCTCCCTGGTGTTTGGACAACTATAATAGCCTCCCCCCCCTTTTTTTTTTAAGATTTATTTATTTATTTGAGAGAGCGAGCGAGAGAGAGCAAGTTGGAGGGGGGGAGTGCAGAGGGAGAGAGAATCTTCAAGCAGGCTCCCCGCTGAGTGCAGAGCCAGCCGCAGGGCTCAATCCACGACCCATGAGATCACAGCCTGAGCCAAAACCAGGAGTCGGACTTTCAACAGACTGAACCACCCAGGCGCCGCGATGATAACCTCCTAATTGGTCTCCCTCCTTCCTCTCTCATCTCCCTAATACCCATTCTCTACAAGGCAGCCAAATTGAGCTTTAAATTAAGTCAAACAATTTTATCCTCCTCTTTAATGTACTCCATTGGTTTCATATGATACCAAGAATAATGCCTACACTCCTTGAATGACTCATAAAACTTTACAAAAGCCTGCCTTTTCCTTGCCCCCCAGGTGAATCTCCTATCACTCTCTCCATGGTCAGTACCCATCAGCCATAATAAACTTTCATTAACTTTAATACACAGAACATATTTCTGCATCAGGACCTTGCACTCCTTTTTTTTTTTTTAAGATATTTATTTATTTATTTATTTATTTATTTGACAGAGAGAGGACAGTGAGAGAGGGAACACAAGCAGGGGATGTGACAGAGGGAGAAGCAGGCTTCCCGTGGAGCAGGGAGCCCGATGTGGGGCTCAATCCCAGGACCCTGGGATCATGACCTGAGGCGAAGGCAGACGCTTAACGACTGAGCCACCCAGGTACCCCAGGACATTGCACTTCTTGTTCTGCTTGTCTGGGAATGTGCTTCCTCCAGATCTTAGCCCCAAACTTGCCTACTTGGCCTATTTCCTCACTATCCTACTTTTGTACAATTTGTGTGCAATTACTTCCCAAAAGAAATCAAACATGGATTTTTACTTAATCTTCCAAATGTGGTCTATCATTAAGAATCTTCGTTATCACTGCAATGTCAATTTTGATGTGATGTGTTTGTAGTTAATTTTTAAATTTCCATTACAAGCCAAAGAAATTAGCAAACCAATGAGATAAGAAAAGTTCAAAATTTGGGGTTTAGTTACAAGGAAGTGTAACTTAGGTGAACAGATAATTTACCATTAAAACATGCTTAAATGCAGGGTGCCTGGGTGGCCCAGTTTTTTAAGTGTCTGACTTTGGCTCAGGTCATGATCCCAGGGTCCTGGGATCGAGCCCCACATGGGGCTCCCTGCTCAGTGGGGAACCTGCTTCTCCCTCTCTCCATCTGCCTCTCCCCCAGCTCTTGCTCTCTCTCTCTCTCAAATAAATAAATAAAATCTTAAAAAAAAAGAACATGCTTAAATTCATGGTGGTGGAGATATGCAATGCTATGGTCTACAGGGGGGAGTGGTGGCTAGATATCGAGAGACAGCAAAGTGTAGCAGATAAGTGCAGATTTGGAGCCAAATGAGGAAAATTATTGTACCTAGCTCCTAGAGTTCTGGTGAGGATTAAATCAATTACTGTAGAAAGTATTTAGAATGGAACCTGGTATATAAGTTCAGAAATTATTATGGGGTACGGGTCCTTCCACAGAAGGATACAAAAATAAACCAATATGTTTGATGTCATTTTTAGAGTACTCATGGGCAGAAAAGATTTGACTCCTCCCATTCACTCACCAACCCACACGCTAAAAAAAAGTGAAGAAAACAAGGTTTATTGCTCTTTGGGAAGACAGAGAGAACTATCAGAAGAGCAGACCCACCCATAGGTCAGGGAAGAGAGAAGGAAACAAGTCTAAGTCCGCAAATACTGATGGGATCAGGCAAAAAATGCATAGGCTTGGAGGGACTCCAGGTGGTCAAATTTGGGACAAACTGAGTACAATAAACAAACAAAACAAACAAATCAATCAATCAATCAATCAATAAACAGAGGGAGGGATGAAGGAAGGAAGGAAGGAAGAAATTTAATAATATACACATTGAATTTTTTAAAGCATAAATTAGTATCGATGGGAGCATAAGATGGGAAGACGAAGGAGGGAGAGAGTGGAGGGGAGGAAGAAAAAAAGAGGGAGGGAAGGACAGAGAGATGGACAGCCCTCAGTGTAATAACTGATTTAAGCAATGATCACCAATGGGTGCAAAACCATCGAGTAAAATGTAAGGAAAACAGCATTCATATGAATCAAAGTATCACATCACAAATTACTTCTTACTCCCCAAAGAAAAACCTGGCTGTTGACATTTTAACCAAAGGCTCAAAATTACTATCTCCCATAGGGGGACAACTTGACATCATGGGTCTCTTGATTTGAAGCCATAAACAAGAAGTAATTCCCACCACCTACGTAGTACAATACTATACACTATTCACTTCCATAACATTCATCATGAGTGTAACATGAGGAAACAATGATAAAACTTCAGAATGTGGTCACATGTACAAAACAAATGGCCTGGACTCTTTAAAAAAAACCGAACAAGTCAACAGTAAGTAGTATGTTGCCTTCTCTAGATTGAGGAACTAAGGAGACTAAACAACCAAATGCAGTGCATGGAACTTAATAAGATCTCAAATTTCAAAAGAGAGAAGTAGCTATAAAAAACATTTGAGGAGCAAATGAGGACGTCTGAAAGAGCATAAACCAGATGATATTTAGATAGGAAAGTGTGCTTATCTAAGAGAATGTCTGTATTTTGCAGAGAGGCCTACTAAGGTACACAGAGTTGTAGCGGCATGATATCTGCAAATCCAAAAGTTGAAGACAAAAGTGGGTATATATAAACACGTGTCTGTGCATGTGTGTGATGAAGCACATGGTGCAGAGAGTTAAAAATTGGTGGCATGATGATGGCTATGTGGGTGTTCACCACGGTATTACTTCAAATTTGCTATATATTTGAAAGCAAATAAACTAAAACAAAAATATAACAAAAACAAAAAATTAGCAGCTTCTTACCTTTTGCATTCTGTGCTCCTGCCAGCCTGGCTCTTATTAAGCCATGTCTCTCTTTGAGGCGAAGAATCCGAACTTTTGGAAACTGAGACATATATTTATCCAAATTACCTTTTAGGTAGTCTGTATCACAGTAAGAATAGACAAGGAAACATGTTAAGTAACTAGATCTGGATAATACTAGCAGTGGCTTCTCAGTATCAAATTCCAGAAACTATGATCGTTACTGTAGTCACTAAATTTTATTCCTTGGACCATGATTTTATTTTTTGATGTCATTTTCTTGGATGGCTTTTTGTCTGCATCCAGTACTCCAAGCTATCTGTTTCTCAGATTCCAAATCCTTCTTTCCAGTGTTGCCAAGTGACATAGAGGAGGGCTCACCTTTTCTGGGTATTTGTCAGGATGGGCAAATTTGCCCTGAAATAAATGAAACTCTAGTTTCTGTACAAACTTACAAAGGCCCGTGCCAAGACCCAGACAAGAGGCTAAACATTGCATGCAAATTGGAAAATTTGTGAAAGAAAGATGTTACAACTGCAATTGGTTAAGGGCACTGTCATTTCCCTACTATGACACCCTCTGAGTCATACCTCTTTTGTCTTGTTGGGTGGCCAAAGAGGTATCCATCCAAAGGAATGTTGTTGGGGTTTTATGGGATATATTTACATGACTTGCAGTCACTTCAATGTATAATTAAGCTATTGACAGGTATCCCAGGTAGGAAAGACTTCCAGAAGTACTTCTGCTGCTCACTTTCCTACTGATTTTGTGCGGTTTTTTTTCTTAAAGAGGACCCTGAAAACCATATAAGCTCCAGGTCTCTCCAAAGGGTTCTTCAGGTCCCTGGATCTGCCATTCATAAAAAGACTATTATTTGCTTGGTGACTGGATACTATTTCTGTTTATGCTTTCAAGGCCCCTTCTCAAAGTTTTCAACCAGTTTTTCTTAGGCATCTCACTGCTAAGAGAACTCAGGGTGATTGTGGTAGGAGCTCTGAGGCTGAGGAAACTGGCTCATGCCGTTGTGGTCATGAACAGAGCTAAGCTGTTCTATTAGGGCTATCCTCTCTTTGCTATTTTCTAAAATTTTCTGAAGTAGGCTACATTGTGAGAATTTGTAATGTGGTGGCAGTGGGACCTCGAATGGAAATGGAGCACTTAATACACAAATTATGTGATCTCCCCAAGAGGGAGATTCTTCACTTCTTCCAGACCATGGTGGATTCTGCCTTTGCACTCTGTTGAAGCCTCATCTCTTTGGTTCTACTGGCAATTTGTCTTCTCAACACTTAACACATAATGTGCTTTGCCCTTGAGGAAGAAACCATCGGCCTTCCATTTCTTTGTTTTCCATAGAGTCTAACTCTGACTTCTTATTACCAGTGGGAAAGGCATCCTATTAATTGTGGGGTACTTGCTTATTAGACTTCATAAAACGGTTGAACATCTTCTGGTCTCTGGAACTCCAAAGTGCTCCAAGGAGCTATAGTTAGAAAATCATTTCTACATGGCAGAGAAGGCACAGCTGAAGGGAAGTCTGAGACAGCTAACTGAAGATAGAACTCACTTTCTATATCCCATAGATGCTTGGCTTTATGCCTCTAAAGCACCACACGAAGCAATGATTTGATATTTTTGCCATCCACCCAAATTGTTATCGCCTCATATCAAACTTTAATTTTCCAGAAGTGCTTTTCTTACCTTTGGTGCTGAAGTCATCTACCAGTAGAATCTCCTTGATGAGGTGTGGAGGAGAGCGATTAAGGACACTATGAACAGACCTCAGGAGAGTGGACCACACTTCATCCACAAAGCACATGATGACACTGGTGGTCGGGAGGTTATTGTGAACTAGCTGCTCTGCACACCTGGGCCAGGACACAAGCAGGGCTCATTTTAAAACCAAAGAGATGGTTTTAAAAGTCACAGAGTGCAATTTTATGTAGATAGACATATACTGACATGCTCTGTTTATCTGTCTGTGTGTCTATCTGTTTGTCTATATATCTGTTTATCCATCCAGCCATCCAACAACATCTACTACATATATCAGTGATGATTTTATCATGTGTTTTCCTTGAGGAGGGGTATAAGCAAAATAAACAAGCAAAGTAAGAATAACCAGGAACCGTAGTTGCTATAAAAGGACTAGCAATGCAAGACATGAGAAGTTCCTGTGGAGGCATCTTGCTGTAGGGGACAGGACATAGGCTTCGCAGGTGGTTAGACACTATTTTGAATCTCACCCCCAATATTTCTCAGATCTTTATCCATTGATACCATACTTAATATTTCTGTGTCTCCATTTCTTCATCTTTAAAATTAGGTAAATGTTCTTATTCAACAGAGCTTTACAGTCTAGTGAGAATGCACGTAAAATGTCTAGCACAGTTCCTGGCATAGGAATTCACCAAATGGTAGCTACTGCTATTCTACTTAGACCATATACCACAAGAGAACACTCTTACTTATTTAATGTTACCAAGTAGTTTCTGATTGCCCTTCCAAATGGCCTCCTGCCAAGTGCCAAAGGAAATATTCTCCCTTTCTCCCACCCTGCATGTGAGTGCATTTATGGATATATATGGAGATGTATAATTAAACTCTTCATCTTCTCTATCTATTTAGGGGTTACTTGCTGAGACTCTCTGTGCTACAGAGTAACCACAGTAGAACTAATCCTCCTGCCACAGGGAGGAGGATAAAGCTACAGTGGGAGTTGGTATTCAGGTGGGTTGTAATTGGTCTTGGGTTTTTTCCCCACACCCTGCAATGTGTACTGCCTTGCTGCTGGCATTCTTCCATCCCCTGCCTGTTACTCTTCATAGGAGGGTACCGACTGGAACCTCACAAAGAGTATTTGTCATCCTTCTAACACAGCTACTATTAGTAATGTCATAATTAAATTACAATGATCATAAATAAATATTATAGGCAGGCTGGATTATTTCAATTTAAACCAACAACATCTCTTCCCCTTTTTTATGGAGGAATAATTGAAATCATGGTGAGGCTAGTTCATGATTATACTGTTAGTAAATGGCAGAGTTGGGACTCAAGCTCTGGTCCGGTCTGGCTCCAGAAATAGCCATTCAGGAAGCCTTAAGTTCTCAAGAATAAAAGAAGCTGGCAGCAGATGTAACATTTTGTGGGAGCAGGCACTTCTGCCAGACAATATAGCTATACTTTTCTTAGTCTGTTAAAAAAGAAATAGATAAGAGCAAAAACCATGGTAAAACCATATTTCCATGCATTCACCATTTATCAATAGTACTTAATAAAGCACTATTATGTAGATAATTGTAACAACTGCTTGGGATCCATATTTTTACCCTTGTCTCTAAATAGAGCAAACTGAAGCTGGAGAAGTTAGATGACTTACCCAACACGATTCACCTAGAAAGGATATGTATGGAAATGTGAACAAATAGTTGTCAGTCCACTGCACTATGCTGATTTTTCTGTACTAAGAGCATGGGTTTTGAATCAGATACATATGTGGGCAAATACCTGATCCCCTGATTACTGGCTTAGATTAAAGTTGTGTAACTCTTTTGAACCTCAATTTGCCAGAGATTAAGAACCTCCAAGCAGAGATGAAGAATCACCTTATTGTAGGACTAAATGCAAATACTTTATAGAACTCACCTACTATATAACTGACAAATAGCAGATACTTAAGAATTTCTTAAGGTAGGCAAATCCAGCTTTGGTCTGTAATTTCAATGGTTCCCTAAAGTGGATGGTTATGATACTAACCTACAAAACATTATGAAAACATACATATCCAATCACCGACCCCAGAAAATCAATTCAGCAGTTCTGAATAGGCCCTGAGAATCTGTGTCTTAAAAAACAAACAAACTAACATAGGTAAAAATCTACAAACAAAAAGACAACCTACACGTTGTTGATAGGCCAGTTTGGGAACTTGAGCTCTAAGACAAAGTGGATTTAATTTTACTTACCATTGGCGGATAAACTTAAAAAAAAAAATAAACAAACAAATAAATAAATCGAGGGCTGATAGGAGCATGTCCTGAATCTTCAAGTTATATAAAATCAAAATGACACATTTTCATCAGGTATCCTGATCTAGTGATTAGGTACCCAATGTTAACATTAACTAGAGGCAGCCTAAAGTAATCTGATTCTACCCTAGAGATCCACGAATTGGCATTTCTAAATAACACAAGATATCCCTGACTTCACTAAAGGCTGTATTAGTTTCCTATAGCTGCTGTAACAAATTACTGGAAAAAAAAATCTGCTTATCAGTTTCTTCCTCAATTTATCTCTTTCTTCTCACATTTTACTCTGAACAGAAAAGAAATACCAGGCCACCCTTCAACACTTGGCTTGGAATTCTCTTCAGCTAACTATCCAAGTTCATGGCTTGCAATTTCTGCTTCCACACAGCTATCTGACACAATTTAGCTAAGGTTTCTGCCACTATCTTGGGAGGATCATTTTCCCTCCAGTTCCCGGTAATGTGTTCTGCATTTCCTTCTGGACCCTCACAAGATGCACTTAGAATGCTCATATTTTTACCAAATTCTGTTCAAGACAATATGTGTATTCTTAAAGAGGACAGAAGCTTTCTTTTCTGTACTTCTCACTTCCTTCTAAGCCTTCACCTGTAACATCTTTTTTTTTTTAAAGATTTTATTTATTTAGGGCGCCTGGGTGGCTCAGTTGGTTAAGCGACTGCCTTCGGCTCAGGTCATGATCCCGGAGTCCCGGGATCGAGTCCCACATCGGGCTCCCTGCTCGGCGGGGAGTCTGCTTCTCCCTCTGACCCTCCCCCCTCTCATGCTCTCTCTGTCTCTCATTCTCTCTCTCAAATTAAATAAATAAAATCTTTAAAAAAAAATTTATTTATTTATTTGACAGAGAGAGACACAGCAAGAGAGGGAACACAAGCAGGGGGAGAGGGAGAGGGAGAAGCAGGCTTCCCGCTGAGCAGGGAGCCCAATGCGGGGCTCAATCCCAGGACCCTGGGATCATGACCTGAGCCAAAGGCAGACGCTTAACGACTGAGCCACCCAGGCACCCCCATCTGTAACATCTTTAACATGTGTGTTTCTACCAACAATTTCTTCAAGGCAGTGCAGGCTTTGCCTGTCATGCTTCTCAAAATTCTCCCAGCTTTGATCTATTATTCAATTCTTTGGCTATTACTTGAATAATCCTTCCACATTTTTAGGTATTTGTTACAGCAGCAACCTACTCTTTGAAACCGAAATTATATTCATTTCCTCTGGCTGCTGTAACCAACTTTATGGCTTAAAACAACAGAAACATATTCTTTCACAGCTCTGGAGGCCATGGCATTAATTTATTGATTTTATTTCTTGTCTTCTGCATCCAGAATTTCCTGCTTACTACAATGCCACAAGCTTCTAGCATAGTTGCACATAATTAATATTTGATAAATATGTATTAAATGGGAGGATGAAAAAAAGGAAATGGAATGGAGCTTAAATCAAAAGATTAATGGGGGAAGGAGAGACATTTTTCTTTGAGATAGGAAGAAAAAAGGTGGTAATGTATATAGATGAGTTTATGCACAGAGAAGTTGAAAGAATTTGTAGCTCATGTTGGAGGAAAGGTTGTTTGTTAATGTGATAGGGTAGGGGTTTGAGAAGAATGGAGAATATTTGGAACAGACACCATGGATAATGGGAGGGAGTACTGGCCAACTACACATAAAAGGATTTCTGGAGATCTCAAAATTTTAGTCAAAATACTGGTGTGATTTACTCCACCAGGGTCTGTCAGCCTGGGTGTAAGAGGAGATAAAGGCAGACTGGTAAATTAGTCCAAGTCTAGGGGTCATCAGAGCAAACAAAGTAGAAAGAAAAGTGATAGAGGATTTTGAGGATACTGGTATAAAATGGGTAAAGGTTCCATCGTGGGCTGTATGTTGGAAGAGAGGAAGTAAAGCTAAGAGGAGTTTAATAGCCTGAGGAAGACATCATTGACTTCCTATGACTTCTTCATCTCTAATTTTATAATGTAAGTGGATGGAAAATGCACATTTTACACTTAAAACAAACCAAGTCTAAAAAGGAAGGGTCAGCTGCACAAATTCCGCCTGAGCCATCTGAACCAACAAATCTCGCATGAAGTCCTGAGAATTGCTTTATTGTTAAAATTTGGTTGACATTAGAAAATCTAGTTACAAACAAGAATACATTGGGAAGTTAACCATGTAGGCTAACGCAGATGAATCTTCTTATATAATAATAAATCAGTAGATTTTTGGTCTCTTTCAGAAGGAACTTCCAAGAAGTGTTGTAACATTAGCCAGTTTGAAATTGGAGATGGGAAGCGCTCTCAGTGATTTGAGATTTGGGGGAGACACCTCCCACTAGCCAAATATCTGAGCTTCCATTCTCCACATCCCATCATGGTGTCTTAGTTTTAACATTAGAAATCCCATATGGGTGGGGTCATGAAGGATTCCACTAGATGCCAGTATCCCAAGAAATAAGTAGTACCCGTGCCAATTATTGGCAGACATGTACTTCAGATGCATTTTAAGAACCCACTGAAGACGACTCTGTGGGAGATTATATTGTACAGGTCACACTGGTGCCTGGAAAAAGGGGCAGCATTAAAGGTTGGGGGAAGTGGAGCACAGAAGGAAGCGAGAGGCTCGAAATATGAAGTTGCAGAGTGTCCCTTGCTTTGGGTGGCTGAGATGTCACGCCACTCTAATATTTATATGTACCTGGTTTCCTGCACAACTCAGCAGGCTAAACAAGTTTCCAGGTGTCTAGAAAAACTAGCAAGCTTGCTTTGTTTAAAGGCACAGTGCATCAGACCAGAAAGCCTTTCCACATTAACTTTTGCACCCTTCTTA